CCCCCTCGAGAATACATAATTTCCCTGTACATTTCTGATTACACATGATAGATGATTACCTATCTATCGTACGGTCCCTTCTACATAAACTACCCTTAGTTATGTTTATATCTCACTTCCCATAGACTATCTTACTACAACACACTAACCCTAACCTTGATATATATATACTATGAATCACTGATGGCCTGCCTAATGTCCTAGGCCTTTACATTAATCTATCATCCTACCCTCGGGGCTCACTGGGTACACTGGAGTTTACACATTAAAAATAACTCAACCACACAGTTATCTCCATTACTATCAAACAACACTATTATTACTCAGCATGGCTAATATGCGTAAACAAACTTACTTGACATAGAAGACTGTAGGCCCTTCCGGCGCTTGTTAAACCCATATTGAGTAGCGCCTCCGGCTGACAACTGAATATTCTGTTAGAACGTCTTCACAAGTCCCCCGAAATTCCCAAATTTATGGTTTTATTTCGCTGATTCAGCCTCGCCGAAAGAGGGTGGGTGACTCCCCCCTCAGTGTCCTCCATCCTCATAATAACCTCCTCATTGGCTCTCATGGGTGGTTGGGCGGACCCCTTGCGTCTAATTGCAGCGTAAGCAGTCTCTTGCAATTGAATCCAGGTTACGAGTGAGGTAAGCTACTGGCTTTGTGATTACATAGACCTGCTGACTTTACATTCTTAACCTAATTGCCAGTCCTAGTGTTTACAAGTTACTGTAATAGCTGCGAAACTCTTTTCGCAAGTCTCTGGCTTTTTTGGGTCATACCATCCTCTTTCTAATCTCAAATTTGGGGCATAACATATGGAAATGCCTTTGTAAAATACGGAGCCCACGGTAGTGTAGTTGGTTGAGGCACTATGCTACAAGCCGATTCCCGATGAGGTCACTGGATTTTTTTTTCAATTGACCTAATCCTTCCAGCCGCACTATGGCCCTGGAGTCCACTCAGCCTCTAACAGAAATGAGTACCAAGAATATTCCTGGGGGTAAAGGGCAACCGGCGCGTAAGACTGACACTCTCACCGCCATCTATGAGCCGATTGTCTAGAAAAAAAATAGGAGTCTCGAAGTCTCATAACCCTATGGGCCTCCACGGCCTGTTACAACACCTCTGGTAAAAACATTAGCAACTAAAGCGCTTCTGGCAGAAGGGCATTTTCGTGAAACTTCGTCCAGCGGTGCTAGAGTCGCTTTATGCATACGGAGAGACGGACGGGGAGATTTTAATTGGTGCTCCGCAGGGTTGCGAAAGCGCATAGAAAGGTCACTGCCATTTTCCTCATAACCACATAACCAGCAGGTCTACACCTGGCGAATCACTGACAAACATTTTAACTGATCATCTACGATTATTATTAAGGAAACTTTGCTCCATACGGATCGCGTAGGATGGCAGAGCCAATAGAAATGATGATTTGGATAGAAGGTGAATTGAAACGGTCGTGGTCTATTTTTTGTAGTATTTCACCACTTGCCTCCCGGATTTATTTAACTGTGGTTTACTACACAGCGCTTTCAATGGTTCCGAATATACAGCTTTGAAGTAAGCACTGATCAGAGAATATTTCATGGAAAGAACGAGGGAAGGAATGGTCACTATCCACGCATTTTCTTGGAGGGGTTCAGGCAGACCACGACAATCCTCTGTCCGGTTAGCAGGTATACAGATCGAGATTCGACGTGGAACCTCCTGAATTTGAAAAAAGAAACAGTGCTGCCCATTCAACCGCGAAGTATGGCAACATGCAAATGAACGGCTCAGCCATCCCCTTCAGAGTGTGCTTACAGGCATAAGGCTGTTTCTACACACTAAGTAGGTACATGTTCTGGGATTTGCATTTAAAACTACGCCCATAGTTGGTTCATATGATGAATTTTTCCCTAAGACATGAACGGATTGAAAAATGATTTACGTTGAAATGTGAGAGGAAATGAGTTTTTCGTTTGTATTGAAACAAAGAAACACCAGTGTACATTGTATTAGCACAAAGGCCTAAAGATGAGAGTCTTACTAGTAAGCAAAAGAAGAAAACAACGTTAACTGTCATCACAGCAGTTGCTACTAAAGAACAAGATAAAACAAAGAAGCAAATGATCCATCAAAATATAGAATTTTCTTCGAAACTGCCTGACATCTATGCGCTATATTTCGCAGTATCCCAAATTAAGTACACTCAAAATTTTGAACTTGAAAATATTTAATAAGAGGACTGAGCAGATCAGGATAATCATGTACATACCCAAATCCTTGACGTTCTTCCAGCTCAGATGTTTCCCACGGTTATAGAATCCCCCTCTTTCAAAAAGAAGTTTTAGCAAAGCTATCGGTTGCTGAGTTCCATATTCATCAACCTGATAACAGCAATTAATGTAGAACATAAGCATACCTGTTACTGTAAGAATAACCTGCCGACATCAGTAGCTGCTCAATAATATATATATTAATATAATATTCATTCATCTGTAATCTGTCAAGACGACAGGTCCACAGTCTCTTCTAAAACAGTTCCTCCACATAATGCGATCTAGAGCTTTCTCCTTCAAATGAGAATATCCTCTTCTGTCTCCAAGGTCATCCAGCATCTTCTTACGTCTTCTTCCTCGTCTTCTGGTCACTTCTATCCGCCCCTGTATCTTTCCTTCAATAACTTCTTCTAGAAGGCAGTTACTACATATAATAATATAATAAGTATAATTATGGTTACTGCATCCCGTATCTGATAAATAAATTACATAAATCTTCAACCGACGCCTTTTCAGGCACAAAAATAGCCTGCGCCAATTGGACATGCAGACGTCTCACAGACGTTGAATTGTGCCGTTAGGTACTAAGGGCATTTTGACACCTCAGGGACGGAGGTTGCCGTAGGACAATCGGATTGTAACGCCGAACGAGAACTATGAGAACAAACACATATCAGCGGTTACTACATGGCACTGTAGGCAACCTCGTTCAAAAAGCGTACGTGTTTAACTGTGAAATTTACCTCGACAGATAAGTCTTCTTATATAAGTGGTTTCTGTTCATAAACTCCAGTCCCCCAACCTCTCGACATTGGGCGCCTTCATCAGAGTGGGGCCTCGTATAAATTTTACGCTTGTGGCGTTTATGTCGCATAGGTTTAGGCGTCAGATATTTCAAGCCAAACGCCGTCAGAATTACGGTTTTTAACCAAGAAGTGCTGGAAGCCCCTGCTTATGTCCTGTTTCGTCCACATCAGTTAACTTCCATACATCCTCAGCTTTCATAATTCAAATCAATTACACCACCTTCGGAATGAAATGTGGCCAGCAGCAATATTAGAGTAAATAAATTGTCTAATATTTCGACGTAAACTGTTTTTTCATGGTCGCCTTGATGTGGCCAAAAAGGTCCACAATCTCGCAACAAACACCTAAAACAGTGTCTGTTCGGGAACTCAACACACTTTCGCATTATGAGAAATAATCTTCCATATGAGCAATTTTTTAAAAAATGCTAACATTGCTTAGGTATAGACATATTTGTATTTCAGTTTCTAACATTGGAAACCGGAAACAAACTGACATAATATTTGCTGACACTACGTAATTTTAAACTTACCTGAGGCATGTTTAGATCGTCAATAAAGCAAATTAGTTTCTTTCCAATTGGAGGACCATAAGTATATTTTGTTCGTTTTTCTAAAACAGACTCTAAATTGCGCTGTACATCCAACGAAGTGCTTCTGGAGGAAAAATTGATGTTCAATATCATCTGCAAATCAAAAATTTAACAATAGACATAATCATCAATGAAAGCCAACATATAATCATTTGGCCAATAATTTTGCTAAATACCATGGAACAATTCTTTTAATATTATGATGACTACTTAAATAATGCCAGGATAAATTAAATTATAAGAATAGTCCTAAGCCCCACATGTAACCATAGAAGATACATAGTTCCTATTTTAAAAAATAACCGAAATTTCTTACCCCAGTTTTTTTTTGGGGGGGGCGTTGATAGACTGACATTTCTATAGAAACACATTCAGCGTAATTCTGAATTAAGGTGCCTTTCTCATACATTGGCCCTCCTTTCTATAATATGAAATCCTTCTGTCTCCTAATATCCTTCACTCTACGCCGTCTGATGTTTTTAGGATAATATATACGGTTTACTATGCATGACCATCGTTATTTAATCGCTAGACAACCCCATTCTTTCTAAAGCGTACACCAAATTATTTTATATTTACAGCCTTATCTCCATTGAGATGCAAAGGAGATAAAGTAATTAAGGCCAGACATATCACATTATTTCAATTATTTAAACTCATTTTAATCATAAGCAAGAATATTTAAATTTTGATTCTTGACGTCACTAAATTTCATGTGCGGGTTAAGAGGTTAAATTTCTCTGTTACTTTTTTACTTTCTATATCATTGTTTTACAATTCATATAAACATTAATTATTATACTTATTATTACACGCAGTAGGTAAAAAATTATAACTGTTGCATGATTTAAGATGCAAGCAATTTTAATATTTCAGTGTTGTTTATTTTATGAAAACCCCGGAAAGGAACAAATATTTTTGCTGGTTTACAATACGTATTAATTTATTGCCCACCTGACAGCATTGTAAAGGAATTCATCAACGCATTGCCAGGCACCGGCTCTGTAAACATGTTCTAATGTGCAACAGTGGAAGCTGTGTTTCAGCGTACGAATGTTACAGCCCGTTGCTGGGCAGCAGTCAGCGCGCCAATGAACTAGCTGGATAGCGATCACGTGACATGTGTCTTCTGTGTAGTGTCTGCCACACAACAGTAGAACTGTTTTCTGTGCGTTGGTCCGTGCGGCTGTTATATAGCGCGAGTCTGCTTGTAGCTAGTTCAGTTGAGAGAATGGGACCGGCAAGTGAGTTCAGCTGCCGGTAGGAAGTAGCTACGGTAATTTCGTAGTTGAGGAAGAATTAGAAGTCGGCCTATGATGACTTAGTATGCGATTAGAAGATTTAGTCACAGTGAGACTGTTTTAATTCCGTTACCAGGAGGCGACTACTGAAGACTAAGAATCCTAGTGTGTGTGTAAAACGGTGAACTATAAATTATGTAAATGAGCGATAGCGCTGTATTGCTTGGAAGTAAGAGAGGTTGTTACCGCAGTGCCAATAAATCCAATCGTCCGATGTAAAACGCGTTATTTTTCGTGCGTGCCCCAAACACGTGGCGGTATCTGATAGGAAATTCATTAAATATATATTCGAAAATGAAATCCGATATTACGTTTGAACGGTTTTATTGATAGCAGGCCTGAACCTACAACTCATTACTGCAGAGTTAATTAATGCCAGAAACAGGAAATTATTATGTTGTTTTGTTTGCATCCATTTTCTCCTCAGTCTAAACCGAAGAACAAAATAATCCTAGGACACTCCGAAAACACGATACATCATATCGCAAGCCGTGACAGATTTATCATCTATCCATAAAAGTGGCTGAAGTTATTTGGGACCAGTACATGCTTTTATTCTGGATGTTTCCAGAATCAACATAATTTTGTTATACTGCACATCTCAACGGCGATACAAGTTGCCAGCTGAAAGGCAACCATTTTGCTAGGATTATTTATTGCTTAAAATTGTACTAAACCAAGGTAACTTAAAGTGACCAATTGTTAATTCCTGAAGTGCTATATTTTGCACACATTTTTCCGTTATCCGTACGTATGAATACCTACATAGGGGTCTGAGTGCAGCTGTCTCAGAAAGTCTTGCATAATCGCAGTTTTTGAAGTTCCAGATTCTCCAACCAGAATTACTGGCCTCCTTACCTAAAACAGAATGATAAGCATCTCACAATGACACGTATACTTGAACCTCACTCAATATGTCTCTCAGGAGAGAAACTACTATCCAGCCTTCGTTCAAAAATCCTGTTTTACGATATGTACAGATTTAAGAAAATCATGGATCGAGGCTACAAAGATTTAAGACCCACTTCGTCATGAATGTCTGTCACTTTTTATTGCTACGATGGTATATACAGTGTATGGATTATGACATAGGACGCTAAGTTGGGCTGGGCATTTTGCTAGGATATGGGAGACAAGAAATACATATAGAATATTGGGAAAGGCCACTATAAATACCAAGGAGATAAGAAAATAATATTGCGCTAGAGCTTAGGAAGCCGATCACAGTGGCCGCGCTCGCTCGAACACTGGGATCGTGGGTTCGAATTCCAGTCAAGACATGGATGTCTGTCTGCATTCATTCTGTGTTTGTGTTGTCCTGCGTAGGTAGCGGCCTTTCGACGGGCTAATCACCCGTCCAAGGAGTCCTACGGATTATCTTAGCATTAAGAAACTGAAGTGAAACGAAGCATTTCACGGATGCCCTATGCTCCAAAGTGAGACCAACAGGAAAGAGAGAGAGAGCTTAGGAAATTGAGGCAAGAGGTGGCTGGAACTGATTCAAAATCGAGTCCAGTGGGAGGTTTTTTAGATATGTTGAACCTGTTTTCAACTTCCAGAAAAATAGAAATCAAATATCAGAGTTAGTCAAGTAAATTCATCGATTTCTCTGACAAGGAGGTATGTGCAATATTTCTAATTACATGTAGAACCTATATTTTAAAGACTAGGCAGATGTACTTGGTCCGGTCTTCTATTGAGAAATATGTAGCACATTGCCCGCACGGCAGCTTTTCTGACTTCACTTTCCTTGACTTTCGGGTATTTAATTGTTTAAATCAAGGCCAACAGTGCAAGGGTAACATAACATTGGTTGCACAATACACTTACCTTAGCTGCAAAGCTCAACAAGTCTGTATGCATCCAGGCCGTAAACAAAATGGAATAGAAGTCATAGATATAAGATCTGCGGTTTTCACGGCGGTGACTATGAAGAATGCCTTCCTCTGGGATGTGGCGCCCTGTAGATATTGTGCAAACCGACGTTTCGGAAGAACGTATCACCTCCAGACTACAGTCACCTGCTCACACTGGTTCCTAGCTCGCGGATTTTTATACCCTGAAGATGGAGGCGATACGTTCCTCCGAAACGTCGGTTTACACGGCGCCATATCCCAGAAGACGGAATTCTTAAAAGTCATAGAGCCTTAGGATACGAGACGATATATGCCTCGCATTCATTTGGCCGAAACCTCTGCTCTTATATCGTGAATTTCAGACTTTCCGAGAAAACATAATTACTGTGAGCTTATTCATAATAAGTTTAAATCATTCTAGCAAAAGTGCGAACTAGAGTCCTGCTAACTTGCTACTAAAATTCTGAGTGATTCTATAAGGAAATAAACAACTACACAGAAGCACAGGCAATTTACGGTTTACGAGGTACAAACCTCTTATCAGTTCCTTCTGGCCCATTTCGATATATCTTATTTTATCTTACGTTTGTTGTATCTTCTTTTTTTTTAATGAAGTTCCATATTTCATCTTCAATTGATAAATTTAATCCGTTTCTAACGTAATATTTCTCATGCTGAAAGTTCCATTCAACTTAGAATTTACCAATAACTCAAATTTCAATAAATTATTCTTGACATACAACATTCCACTCACAAAAATATCCACGATAGTAATTCTATTGGAATACAAATTATATCATTATTCTTACCTTATGAAAATAATGCCCTCTAAAGAAATACTGAAAAAGAGGAACAGGTACATTTTTACTGCGAATAATATTTCACTTAGGGCTACGTTTGTGAAAATTCATTCATCTAACCAACAGAGAAAATGGCACCAATATCCAAACGTATTAATCAATTCAAACTATCGTAACCTAAAATAATTTAGATAAAGGTAAAGTTGTCCCTATGGTTAATTAGTCACTATGCCATGAAGAATTATGATCAATGGAGGCAAAGCTCCAAGCACTCTTAACATCGGCACTATATTGAAATGAATGGTCAGCTTCACAGTCCTGTCGCTTTGTTTCCAGTACCGACTGGACAGTAGGCTACACAGGCCCTGACGTCAGTCTGAATGCTAAGAAGAATAAATAAATAACACGCCCTGCCAGGAATCAAACCTCGAGTCCTGGTAGTGCAGCACTTAGCCTAATGACTTCTATGTATGCCTCACTTCTCTGCAGTTGCCGCAGAATCCGCTAAATTGTCTGCTGAGAACGAAACAAGGACACAATATCTCTCTACTGGGACATTTTCAAGAATACTGCTTTGCTTTTGGCTGCATTGGGCTGCAATGAAATGAATCTAAATCTACAAACGAAACAAGGGAATTTGTTGTTTACGAAAATTCCCAATTATGTCGGAAATGAAAAAGAACTATGACAATGTTAGTACTTCCAAAATGAGATTATAAAGAAAACATGTTTCCTACGATGAGTTAGGGAATTACTTAGCGGCCTCCGTAGTCTAGGGGTAACGTTCCCACCTCATGACTCAAAGTACGCGGGTTCAAACCCGGCGGAAGTCGTGGAATTTTTAAGGAGGGACTTTAAGCCGTGGGACCCGTGTCGTAGATTTACGGCACGTAAAAATCCTCATATCTCTAGGAGACCTCTGAGCAAAATTAGGCAAAGTTCCCCGCCCAAGTAGTTTCCAATGCCTCCGGTAGATGAGGAAGTTATCGGGTACTACTGCCAGCCTTGCTGGCTGAATGGGGTTGATAGCGAGCACCCGTACCGGCAGGGTATGGCGACTGGTAGAATATCAAAGGGGGACGTACAATAGACTATTAGTCGCGGTGCATGGGGAAACCCACTCCCTCCAATAATAGCTCCATACTGATTTATGGACCGGAGCAGCCGGAAACTACCAATTTCTGCAACCGTACGAGGAAACACAGCTTCTTATGATGTCAATGACGAAAAGAATGTGGGGATGCAAACCCACCAATAAATAATATTTACACGGTCTGAGATCCTCGTGGCAATAAAGATTCATATTGTTGTCTTAGTGGTTACATCTCCGTGTAGTCCGGTTGCCGGTTACTGAAGTTTCGGAGGAAAATACTGTCTCAATGTTCAGAACCGAAACGGAGATGAGAGCAGTATGTTTCTTCTGAACTTTAGCACATACTTCCCAAGTTACACGGTGTCATAACCCAGATGCCACTATACAAACAAATGGCTTTTATTTATATTTTACTTCAGCGTTGGCAACGCCTTCCTAGCAAGTGGTGTTTCTCGAGGAGGAAACACACTACACCGCAGAGTCCTCTGAAGACTGCAGACGTCAATCTCCACCGCCACAAGGACTTTCCGAACGTGGAAACTATTTCGCATGAACGGTTGAATTATTTTCCTAATTCGGGTACTTAGTGTAAATAGCTTTGTGCTATACTCTTCAAACTATATACAGCAAAAAGCCAATTATTCTACAAAAATAAGACAACGAACATGGTTGAGACACGGTTGATAAATGCATAATTTCTTAAACCGAAGACATTAGCCTTTCCTTTCTATCTATTGCTCTAGCTGCAAGCTGTAATTCGTACCTCATTCAACAGTTTCAGCAGCCAAGTCGTCCTCACTGTATCCACTGTAGGTACGAGAATTTCACTGAATTGCTTCTCACGATCATGGACATATTCAGGCACCGTCCACTTCCATGCCATCCAGCACCGATTTTTGTGGTCAAAATAATAATCATACAAAGTCGGCTGCGAGGAAGGCAAATTACCTGTTGGAAACAAAATTGGGTCAACTTTCGTGGCTGATACAAATTAAACATGTTAACGAAAGGGTGCTTGAACTGGTATAAGAAGTCTCGACCTTCAGCTCGGGCGGTTAGACATCATGAATTGGGCTACTGACCAAGAACAGAAAATTGGCCGTGCCCTAGCTCAAGCGGTTAGTCGCTGACTTCGCACAGCGGCGGCCCGGGTTCGAACCAGGGTCTGGTCAAGTGGGATTTGTGGTGAACAAAGTGGCGCTGGGGCGGGTATTCTCCGAGTACTTCGGTTTCCCCTGCCAATCTTCATGCCACCAAATGCTCCATCATCATAATCACGCGGGACAGGTACAATAGGCCAATCAGTGGCAGCCGTGCCGAGCGGACCCGGTTGGACTCCACCCCCCACTAAGCGAAAGAACAGAAAATTCAAGTCTCAGCTTGTTTTATGGCGCTATATTGTCATCCGTGCGGAGAAATTTCTTATATTACAACATTTTTTTCGTAATAATAGCCCTCAGGCACAATGCAGGAATTTGAAACCTCCACATAGGGCAGAGCGCAAACCAGTCGACCGTGACGAAGCCATAGATGAAATGGGTGAGGACAAGTAGCAGAGGAGGCCATGGAATTATAAGCTTACAGAAAGACTGGTGAGAAGGAAATCAAGGAGAAGCTGGAAAGTGTGGGTTCCGATCTGTACAGGCATTATGTTGCGTAGTCGTAAATATAGGAAGAACGTCCATGCTATCAGTCAGCATGCCCCCGAGAACTGTCCACTGTCGAAAGCCAAATTTATGTGCTGATGATATTGAGGGTATATATACCTGCGACACTCACGCGTGTGATTGAGAATTTTAAGTTTCATTTGAGGTTGATATTACCACGGCGGTGAGAATTCAAACTGTCGTCTTCAAGAGTACGACACTCATGAGTGGTTACCAACGTTTCGGAGGAATCTGCTACCTCCATCTTCGGGACTGAAGTCAGTCAGTATGGATGTTACACAGGAAAGGTAGGATGATTGGGACAATTGACAAATTCCGTGTAGAACTCCCTCCTCAAAGAAGATTAAACATATGATAACTGAATTATATACTGAAGATGGAGGCAGCGGGCTCCACCTAAATTCTGGCAACAACCTGCTAAGAAACTACATCGGTTGTAGTACAGAAGACTACAATATAGAAATCTATATGCATATTTTAATCATGTTAACTCACCTACTGTTGCCTTATTGTCCAAGGTATCTTCAAATTTGGGCATGCCGCAAAGTTTCTTTGTGTATATATCGAACTGAGAGCGCCCTTCTGTCTCTAGCGACGCCCCTAGTGAGCAGTACAAGGCCTGCAAAAAGAGGCATTCCAGCAGTTCTCCGGTCACCTGCTTGCTTGGGTCCTCTCGGGCCGGAATCAGAACATCGATCATGAAGCACAGCTGCATTATCTGCAGAATAAAATATCAGAAGGTCTGGAGCTGTGCTGTTCGCAATATTTATGTAGCTTAAGGTCACTAGACTCTTCCTGGTACGAAAAACAGAGAAAAATGAAAGTTTAATTGGCCAACTCAACTCTGGTAGCGACAGTTAGAACTCGTCTTGAGCAAGCACTAAATACACATCCACTCAAGGAAGCATTTGGGTAAAATTCTTTTAAAATTTCTCTTTCGTCCGATGGTCTCCACTAAACTTCAGACAGCTTATCAGGATCTCGTGTAAAATTATGCATCAGCTACGTATTGACCAATGTCACAAAGCACTTATTAGGTCAACGAATCTTTACAGAAACTCCGTGGCCTGTAGTCCACAAGCGAAGTATACCGAGCGAGAGACCACCGCTTGTCGGCGAAGTTAATGTCAATTTTAGCGGAAAGGGGTTGTTGCGTGGTCAGCGCAACGGATTCCCACGACCGTTAATCTTATTTTTCTAGACCGGAGCCGCTAATTTTCCATTCAAGTAGCACCTCAATTATCCTCATGAGGCTGAGTGAACCCCGTTCCAGACCCACTATTTCTGAGAAAATCTTGTAGCGCCGTGACTCGAACTCGAGACCTCTGGACCTGTAGCCAAGAACTCTGACCACTAGACCACAGAGGTGGCCAATCTTTAAGAAAAGAAAATGTAAAATACTGTACAGTGTTTAAAGTACGTGTAGATTCAAAAGCGTTCCGCGGGGAATACTGGGTTTTTGGGTTTTGTCCGTCGTCCGGTATTGTAAAGAACACAAGGTTTCGGAAACTGGATCTGTTCCCGTCCTCAGGTGAGGAAGTGGGAGACACATGCCCTCTGGGTCCGTTAGAGGTCCAGTGATTATATTTTCTAACGGAACAACAGAGTGGATTTTCCCCACCATCTCACATGAGAACGGACGGAGATCAAGTTTCTCAAATGCTGCATCCTTTAAAATACTGGACGATAGAAAAAGTCAAAAACCAAGTAATCCCGAATTCGTTTAAAGTAATGACTAATTGACTTTTTACGGGTCTGATAAAATTTAATTCATGAAGCTTACATTAAAATTCGTTACAGTCAGTTACAACGCCCTGGGGTTGACTCAGTCTCTGAGAGAAATGAGTACCAGGAATCTTCATGCGGGTAAAGGGCGGCCGGCGCATAGGGCTGACAATCTTACCGTCTTCAGAGCCGATTGGCTAGAAAATATGAAATCCCCAACATCTCACGACCCTATGGGCCTCCACTGTCTGTTAAGGGGATAATTTTAGAGTCAGTTAGAACACAGTTACAACACAGGAAGAATAAAGAACGCACATACCATATTAAGCCCTCTCTGTGGTATAACGGTCTTCAGTGGAGTAGCCTGCATAAGGCCCATCTGCCCCTCAATAATGTGCTTAATTTGAGGATCTACATACTGGACGAACAGGTCCTCAAGTTGCGCTTTCTCTTCATCGCCGGGTCGTGACCTTAGCCACCGGTCCCAGTACGGCTTGTAGCCTAAATTCCTGGGTTCTACGTACACCACACCAGCACGTGACACAGTGGCTGGTGAAGCATACTGCAGGCTTCCTGCCTGCGTTTGTAACACAGGGCCATATTTAGCAACAAGGTAAAACTTTGATAAAACAAATTAGAGGAAAAGGTATTAGTAAACAGGATTAAGAATTGAAGAAAGCCGTCTTCTGGGATGTGGCGCCGTGTAGATATTGTGTTAACCAATGTTTCGGAGGCACGTATCGCCTCCATCTTCAGGGTAGAAGAAAGAATAAAATCTTAGAGAGAAGAAAAAGTGGAAGCAGGTGCTAACATGGAGGCGATAAGTTCCTCCGAAACGTCGGTTAACACAATATCTACACGGCACCACATCCCAGAAAACTGCTTTCTTCATAGTCACCGCCGTGAAAACCTCAAATCTTACATAGGATTAAGAATTATACTCCAGATTGAAGTATTCATGTTTTAAAAGGAGCGATTTCTAGTATTTCATAACACAGTCACCTTTATATATATATAAACTTCCCCGCCAGCCTCACATTGCCTACAGCAGGCAGAATTCAGAATTACTGCATTTACTCTGTAGCCTTACCAATATGTACGGCAGGCACAGCTGTTAACATGATACGAAAGTATTACGGTAGAAGTGTTCTGTCTTATAGGATATCACGCTCCCTAATCTAGTACAAGTCAACCGACGTTTCGGAGGAACATTTCGCCTCGAACGTGAAAGTAGCGTGAAGCAGGCACAAACACAAAAGTCGGTTGACTATCACCAGACTTTCTGGTGTTTTAAGGCAGTTATATAAAACGCTCGTAGAGCGATATGGAAGTTCATTCGTGAAGTTTGTCTCGGCGTAATATTCGAGGATGTCTGTAAATGATAGACTGGAAGGGAAGTGGTCGTGACCTACTGCGAAATATTAAACCAGCATCTGCCAGAACTTTCTGAACAGTACCAATAAAACCTCAGCCATAACATCCGGGCCTCCGAAATACGGTGCAACTAGCCTGCCACGATGCTCGGAATGAAGTGGTGACTAATGCTTACTTACGTATGGAGCTGAGTCCTTCTGGAGGAGCCGCCAATTCTGCAGCTACTCAAGAATTTCCCAGCCTTTTATGGAACCGGAAGGTTCATCATCGTGTTCACAAAAGCCCTCCATTGGTCCCTATTCTGAACCAGATCAATCCAATCCATACCATCCCATCCTATCTCTCTAAGATCCATTTTAATATTGTCCACCCACCTACGCCTTGGTCTTCCACAGTGGTCTCTTTTCTTCTGGCTTTCCCACCAATATCCTATATGCCTTCCTTTTCTCCCCTATTCGTGCTACATGACCTTCCCACCTCATCCTCCTTGACTTGATCATTCTAATTATACTTGGAGAAGAGTACAAGTTATGAAGCTCCTCATTATACAATTTTCTGCAACCTCCTGTCACTTCATCTCTCTTCGGTCCAAATATTCTCCTCAACACCCTGTTCTCAGTCTATGTTCCTCCCTTAATGTCAGAGACCAAGTTTCACACCCATTCAGAACCACAGTAAAAATAAAGTGGTGACTAATACACAGGAAATTGTGCTGCAGGAAGTATGAAGATTTTGTACCTCGAATAAAAGTGCACAGTGGTCTAGCAGCCTAATTCTTTCACCATTCGCCAATGTGAGAATCTTATTATCATCCATCACAGAATTCATGTTCTCGGTCCAGAGAGGGTCCACATCGCCGTCAAAAAGAACGTAACGTCTCTCCATCTTATCAGTGGGCCTGTTGATATCTCTGAATATGCAGGACAAGAGACCATCTGTCCAGTCTCGAGTGATCGGGTGCAAGGCGCCGTATAACTCGGTCACAGAACACGCCTATAAAAGTAGAAGATGAAGCTAGGAAACCAATTGCATGGGTTCTGACGGTGGTGTATAACACTCAGAACTATAGGGTTCTGGAATTTGTCCATCGTCCGGTTTTTGAAAAAATTCCTGAGTGTTCAGTTTTGCTCCACAGATGGCGCTAGCTGTAGACACAAAATGCTTTCACAACACTCTCCAATTAATGCTTGTATGCTTCGTCACAAATTTTATTGCACAGTTTTTTCTGTAATCTCTCTTTGACAAAGCCTAGTCTGAGGTCTGTATATACGTAGCTGTAGTTATACTGACATGGGTTGCCCAGTGATTGAGGTTAGCTCTTTCTAAGGGACCCAACAGAGTAAGCGTCTCCCCCTTACCTGAGGACGGAAACTGATCCAGTTTCCCGAAAATTGTGTTCTCCAGTTTTCAGAACACCGGACGATGGACAAAGCCAGAAAACGCAGTAATTCTGAGTAACTCTGTGGGGCTGAGTCCTTTTTGAGAAGACACCAGTCGCTCAGCTACTGAGGTTTTCCTAACATTTTATGGAACCCCAAGCCAGTCATTTGTCCCTATTCTAAAGCACCCCATCCTATTCTTCTCAGATCCATTTTAATATTGTCCTCCCTCCTACGTCTAGGTCTTCCCAGTGGTTTCTTTCCTTCTCACTTTTCCACCAGAACCGTGTAAACAGTCATCTCCTATCCCTTGTGTGTCACCTGCCCAGCCAATCTCATCCTCCTTGACTTGATCTTTCTAATTATACGTGTATTTAGCGAAGTATGCAAATTACAAAGCTCCTCAATATGTTACGTATTTTCTGCAGTCTCTGACTATTTCATCCCCCAAGTACAAAATGGAAGCAACATAAATTGTTACTAAAAGGATCAATTATCCGAACATAATAGAACTAGAAACATGTGGGGCTTAACACGAAATAAAATTTTAAACTTCCGAAAACCAGACAATATACTTACCCTGATTAACTGCATTTGATAACATTAATATTATTTATGTGTATGAACTGTGAACAATTCTGTGTTTATTTCTTGCAGCGACTAATTTCAAGTGTCAGTTTGACTCTTAACAGAGCTGAAAATATGTTTTAATCTTTACTTTCTTTTCCAAGTTTATTAGAGACGCATAAGAAGATTAATTTCATATTCATGTATTTAGTAAGTTAGGGTTCAAGAAAAGTGTATGAAAATCAATTTCCTTATTATGAGTACTGATTATTTTACCAAACCCCACGATGAGAAGAGACAAATTTCGCTGATATTGTAACTGCTTGACTGTCTTTCGCTCCATCTGGCGCTCATCCCTCCCCCACCCGTTTTTCTATTTCTTTTGAGTACATCCATCCAAACATGAGGGCAGAAAATTGTGTTATAACCAGGACCCGGATTTTGATGACCTGAAAATATTTAAAAAATGACCTAAAGGAGAAAGAGGAAGAACACTTCGCTTCCATGTTATTCACATTTCAGAAAACATATGAAGAAAAATTCACTAAAATGGCCAAAAATTACAAGAAATATCCTTAAAAGTCCAAAAATTTACCAAAAAATTACCTATAAAATTTACATTTCTGTAACTAGCAGCTCATATCCGAGATTTATATATTTAAATGCATCGCATAGGATACAAGGGAAAAATATGACATGTCATCAAAATCCGGGCCCTGGTTATAACACAAGCTGGTCCATCACAAAGCAGCAATGCAAGTTTGAACGTTAGCATCCAGGCGTAACCAGCCAACAACACAACAGATATGAAATGTGTTTTTCAGTTACTACAAAACCTCACCTTAGGATTCAGAACAAACAGCTTAGTAGCAAGTCCGAGGGATGTTTGTGCCTTGACGAGGGTTTCGATGACAACAGTTTTGCCTCCACCAGTTGGCCCAACAATCACTGCAGAATGTCTCGTCATCATTGTCTCGTACAGCTGCATCACTCTGCCCACCTGCGAATGGCAATCTTGTCTTCAGAACTATGTTCATTACATAGGGCATACATTTCCAATAATTGTCATCGCGGCACACCTTAAATGGGTCTTGTAAATATTGTAGGAAACAAATTTATGTGTTAATTTGTAATCCCAGGCTTTCAGGGGCCATCTACGTAGTTCCAACAGCTTCAGTATAAGTTGTGTCGAAACCCCGAAAGTCAAAGTTGGACACAAGCAGAGAAAACCTGAGTGCAAGACAATTATGCGTTCGCAGTAAAGGCGCACTGAGAAGACCGTGTTTGCCTATCCTTCTTCCTGTACCGCTGTTCGCCTATCGAATTGCTGCGTCTCCGAAAATAGGGGAGGATGCGGTCATATTTTTACTATGGGGTTACACGTGTGTCGAAAACGTCAGCAATTTTATATCTGTCAAACAGAAGCCTACTTTGCGTAGAATTAGAAGTGAACGTTATCTTCTTACTCAGAAGTATATCACTGCACGAAAGATGGGCATATCACAAAAGTGCAGGCAGGCTATTATCTCTTACTGAAAACACGTTTTGACGCGGTAAGATATTTAACGAAATACAGGGAAAGTTTTTATCTTACTGAAAGCAGCATGAACTGCTTCATGACAGTAAGTTTTCTGTACTGTAGCGAAACTCATTTCTCACGTCCATTTATTTGTTTTATTTCGTTTTTCCTATCTAAACTTGAAGAAACTGTAGACGTTGAAAATGTGAAAGTAGACGTGTTATGTATAGAAACTTATTGAAAAGATACTCACAGTTAATTTGAATATGTGACGTTCGACCTATTTCAGATGATATCGATAAAATGTTTGTGTAGATATTATCCATATAAAAATAAACTGAAATCGCAATTATAAACTCTGCATGAGCAAGAAGTAAGCATCAGTGCGAAGAACATGAGCCTGCGGAAATCTCAATGAATCGATTTGAAAAATGTATACTGAACTGAAATACTTATTGAAAATTCCGTCTCCTGGGATGTGGCGCCGTGTAGATATTATGTTAACCGACGTTTCGGAAACATCTGTTAACACAATATCTACACGGCGCCACATCCCACAAGACGGCATTCTTCACAGTCACCGCCCTGAAAACCTCAAAACGTACACGAAATACTTACAAGTATTGCATATTTCTTGTATAAGATTTATATAGGCCCTCCTGACAACTGTAAACATGAAGACGGTGATGAACTCGGAGACTGAACACTCATCTAGCAAATTTAATTTAGTCAGATTCTGCTTTCGTGTAAATTAAGCACAGTAAGGTAAAATGAAGCTAAAGTTAATTAAGTGCTGTTCCATGAAGGTGTATAGGGAAATGGAGGTACAGCTACGCCATTTTTTACCTCGACACTAGAATGGGCGAGTGATCAACTTCACGGAGCTCCCGCTCTACCCCGGGGATAAACCTCCCGATACAAATTTGGATAAGAGGCTGGGTGCGCCCCAGAGCTGGGCTGGGCGCTGTGGATGATAGAAAAATCGCTTGCCCCCATCAGGAATCAAACCCCTGTCCCCTAGCCCATAGCCTAATTGCTATACCGAGTGAACCGTCCCGCCTTAAGTACAGAAATTGCGAATTTATGTCATTAATTTACAGTTCCTGCTGGGCCGCGCCATAGCTCAAGCGGTTAGTCGCTGGCTTCCCACCGCGTCGGCCCGGGTTCGATCCTGGGTCTGGTTAAGTGGGATTTGTGGTGAACAAAGTGGCTCTGGGGCGGGTTTTCTCCGAGTACTTCGGTTTCCCCTGCCAATCTTCATTCCACCAAATTCTCCATCATCATAATCACCCAGAGCAGGCTACAATAGGCCAATCAATGGCCGCCGTGCCGACTGGATCCAGTTGGACTCCACCCCCCACTAAGCGAATTAAGAAAAATACAGTTCCTGCTAGTTTGTAAGTAGAACCTCCGAAGGAAAGGAATTTCATGGGTCCTCCCGAGAATATGCTGTAGGTTTAAACAACCCTGAATCTAACCTGTGCAGGTAACACAACATAGCCTTCTTCTGCAAGCGCTGCCTCGACAGCCGCATTGAAGTCAGGATAACTAGCACGAGGACACTCCAGACCAGGAAACAGATCCCTGATGAGTCCAAGGAACAGTGGAACGTCTTCAGGCACGAACTTCGGCAGGGTCATGTCCCTTAAACGGAATGAAACTCGTGTACTGATGTTAAGACTGTTGCAGATATACTGAATGGAGGTGTATCGAAAACAACATAGCCTAAGAGGAGAGATCTCTCATGCGATACGTACTTCTGGAGTCGTGCAGACTCTCAGAAAACAGTGTTAGTCAAAAATTTATCAGAGTAAGTGGTTCATGAAATTCTTATATTTACGGTTAGTTATGGCTTATTTAACGATTCTGTCAATAGGATGTTTACTGAATAATGAATTGTAAAGAATGTGGGAGGAAGAAGTTCTGGCATTATTTAAAATTCTCCTTATTAAGGTAACGTTCCCACCTCATGACCAAGGTACGCGGGTTCAAACTCGGCAGAGGTTGTGTAATTTTTAAGGGCGGCAAAATTCAAGGAACAAGTCCTCCGGGAGGGACTTTAAGCCGTGGGTCACGTGTCGTAGATTTACGGCACGTAAAATATCCTCATGTCTATAGGAGACCTCTGAGCGATATTAGGCAACAATTTCCCGCCCAAGTAGTTTCAAACACCTCTGGTAGATGGGGGAAATATCAGGTACCGACGGCCGACCTCGTTGGCTGAACGGGGCTGATTGCACACACCAGTACCGGTAGGGTATGGGTACAGTAGAAATTAAAGGGGGACGCACAATGTACCAAAAACTGGTCTAAGTGCATGGGGAAACCCATCCCCTCTAATAATAATAATAATAATAATAATAATAATAATAATAATAAGGGCATCGAGTTGGAACTGATTTGTTACTATGTATTTTCCACTAAAGACACAGCAAAATAGTAGATTAAATGTCGATACTTTACTGCATAAGAGCCCGAAGACTTTTCATTTTCTCCTCGAAAATTATATTTTCACTACGTAACCCTCTTTACCTTAACACTACAGCTTTTCCAGAAGGGCCATGTGAAAGTTAAAATCAGAGATGTAACATCCGCAATGCGTAGTGAATTTATCAAACGGGATTTTCTATACAATTTTATTGTCATATTTTAGTTTCGTATGGATGAAATCTAGAAGAACGTGATAATTAAAAAACAGAGATCGCCATTGTTCCATTTATTGGTACGAGGGAAAGTCAATAAATATGTCACAAATGGATATAAAACGAAAAAAAACGTACGATATTCAAAACTGGAATAAATATTTATTTCTCGACAAATCCTCCAACAACATTGATACACTTGTCCCATCGCTTTATCAGTGCTTCGAAACCCGCAGCATATAAGTCTTTTGACCTGGTCGAGCGTCATCGGCAACTTTCTAACATCCTTGATAGAATTTTTCGACCCAAATGTGAACCTCTTTACGCACAGACACTTCCCGCCGCAAACAGGAAATATTTCTTTGTGAATATCCTTTGCATTAAGTCCTTTTGCCCATAAAGACGCACAACAAAACAGTGCTCTTCCGTAGCCATTTTGACTATTGAAACCAGCCTCTGAACATGCGCATGCTCGTCTGCTACCTAGACTGTCATAAAGCTGGATTGTGCTGCTACCTAGTGATACAAATAGAAAATATGTTACGTCCATTACAGCTATTTTTCTTCCATTTGTGACCAATTTCCTGACTCTCCTTCGTCTATGAATGTTCACCGGCGAACATTCACCGCATTTTCACTTCATACGTTCTATGTAAAAGACGGAGAGTAATTTTGGTTGAAATGTTTTATGGAAACAAAATACGTCTTATACTCCTGTATGACGAAAAATGTGTGAGCCATAGAAAAGTTTTGGATGGATAGAATCAAAGAGGAGCGGAAGAGTGTTAATAATCCGTGTTTTGCGATACTACTTGTATCCAGTGCGACCTGTGTTCAGTTATGCAGCAGATTCATCGTCGTGTCCTGGAAAATCAGAACTGAAACAATGCAAAGATACAGTATGGAGTGCAGTGTCATGCGGCACAATCTGACAAACATGGACGGTTAAACCTGTTGTAGAATACTTGTTTTCAGGTCAAAGATAACACATACCGGAGAGCCCTCATCAGCACGACGTTCTCTGGGAGATCTGGTGAGTCCCTCTTCAGTTCTCCAGCCATAACCAACACAGCCTTCAATGTTCGAAGACCAAAATCGTAATGGTTCTGTTTGGACAGCTGCTCCTGCGTCAGCTTATACAAAACAGTGATTTTCTTGGCTAAAACCTGCAGAAATATCGGATTAATTTGTTTTTCCTTTTCTAATACTTTGTTGTTCATAGAAAATATAGTATTATAAAATATTTTTGACTTAGTTTAGTCAGTGATGCTTGTCCGTGGTGACAAGTTGAAAAGGGTGTGTAAGGAAGCAGTCTTCATCATTTTAAGTAATACGCTCAAAATATTTCTGCCTGGAGCATGTAAGGAATATTATCCAGAATGTTAATGAGAATAGACTGCTTCGGGGCCGAGTACTGAACTCGAGACTTCCCGAATAAGAAACGAAGCGCTAACCATTTCGCCCTGTCGATGCCGAAAGCGTTGTTGGAGTTCAAAAAATGTTTCTCCGACGCTGTGAATATCGGGCCTATATCGACTGATAGGGCGGATTAGCTGGGAAGGAAAGAAATAATCATGGCTTAGTGACGTTATTATTCCGGCATTTATTTGCAGGGACTGTGTAAAACCACGAAAAACTTCACTCAAGATAATCGGTGTTCCGGCTGAGATTTGAAAGAACACCTCAACTCCCGAACAGAGTCCGGAGCGCCACTGCTAGACCAGCTTGTGGGGTAAGGAAGTGTATTTAATTGGTCTCGTAACGTACAGTTGTTAGCCAAGATTCAAAGGAAACCTCCAGTGCGAACCCTTCTCTCTTTACACATCCACGACACTGATATGTTACAGCACCATCTTCTGGGGTATATTTCGTGACTGCCAGTGTTACAGCAAATGAATCAGATGTTATATGAACGCTTATCACTCTCCTAGAGTAAAATACTATTTTTATATATTATTATGACGTTATTAGGATCCGGGATAGCGCAGTCGGTATAGCAACTGACTACGGGTTAGACGACCGAGGGATTGGAGTTCGAGTCCCGGTATGGTCAATAATTTTCTATTCCTCGTGTCGTCCAGACTGGCCCTGCGGGTCCACCCAACCTCCTATCCAGTGGGTACAGGAGGCTCTTTCCTCGGAGATAAAGCGACCGGGAAGTGAAGCTGACCACTTACCTCCATCTAGTCAAGAAAATGTGGATCTATACAACCACTTCCCCATACGCCATAATGGCGTAGTGCTTAATTAGTTAAGCGCAGGGAGAACTTTACCTTTTTAACTCTACGAGGTTATTTCACTTTCAAATACACAACTAAAATATAACACCTACAACGTTTATGACGCACCCGCCCAGAAGCCAAGTCCTGTGTTTCAGAGAGTGCGTGGAGTACGCATGTTCGAGTTAGCGATGTTACTACGTGCTGCGTTTTGCACGAAGGGAACTACCGCATGTATCGGTGTATACATATACTCGAACTGGAGAGTAAAATGGGACATGAGATTGAAGTTTTACACAAAGACTTCGAAATTCACTCGGAAAATGTGTTAATAATTACATATCTACAGCAATAAATACATTTATTTAAAAAAAGAAAGTAGAATTCGGTAGGTTCAGAAGAGGGCATTTATCAAGACGTATCTGCTAATTTTCGCTTAGTGGGGGGGGGTGGAGTCCAGTTGGGCCCACTCGACATGGCGGCCACTGATTGGCCTATTGTAGCCTGCCCCAGGTGATTATGATGATGGGGAATTTGGTGGAATGAAGATTGGCAGGGGAAACCGAAGTACTCGGAGAAAACTTTCCCCACCGCCACTTTGTCCACCACAAATCCCACTTGACCAGACCCGGGTTCGAACCCAGGCCGCCGCAGTGGGAAGCCAGCGACTAACCGCTTGAGCTATGGCGCGGCCCTTTATCTGCTAATTACTTCACTGTACATGGAATGCCGAACGAAGTACTGTACTTAGCCTGCTTACCTTGGCCTGAGAGAAGCCTTCAGAGAAGAGTATTGTGAGACAGATAACTTCCAGATCAGGGGCAGTGCAGACCGCAGGTCGGAACAAAGATTTTACCGACTCGGGCAGCTCTGTCCGACCGGCGTTTCCTGGGTTCATCGTTACAAATATACCCACTTTTCGATCAAGGGCTGTCTCCTGACCTTGAAACTAGAACATAAGTCACATACTAGCTGAAATTAAGACCTTGAAATAAATTAATCATGCGGGTTTCTTAAAAGAGTCGGTTAAACGACATCTGAGTGTTCGTGTTTATTTTTCTTAAGTTTCATTTCGATTAATTGCTGAAAATGAAAGTATAATGTGGAGGTCGTTTCTATTCGCACGTCTTTCATCTCCGAAATTATTAAATAAATTTCGACTCAAATTACAAATAGTAACTGCAGTCTAAGCCAAACACTGTCTGCTGAATTTAATTTTGGTCCTAACGTTCCAATTTTCTCAAAATAAGTCATGAAACAAAGAACTCTTAAGTAGCGTAATATACAACCACATATAAATTAAATTTCATTAAAATCTGTTTAGCAATTTCAATTATAGCGGGCGGCAGAAAAATGCGCATGCTTATACATTACAAATATGTTGGTTTATGTAAACCTTGTAAAGAATGGATGTACACCACCATAGGCATCAACTGACCGACATCAATCAATAAGATTTGTCAGTAGTCTAAACCTAAGAGTACATACACGTAACATGAAGTGAAATATTTACTGTTGCATTCTTGGTCTGAAAGTTAAGTTTAAAAATTAAGGAAAATATCGTACATAAAATTGTGTCAACTTGAGAAAAAGAGCGCTGCGAATTGTCTGCAGCTGCGTTGAGATGACAGACAGCACTGAGAAGTCAATACGGTTGAATTCGTCAAAGCATCCCCAGGCACCGCACTGACAAAGCCCGCAGAGTGTTTTGCCGATTGTCTTGCAGTCCATAACCTCACTGCAGTTCGTGACCACACACAGCAGCCCGAGCGCTTTGGCTAAGTCCTTCACTGTTTCAGTCTTTCCTGTACCAGCCGAACCTGCAACACAAGGCAAGGCATTATAAAACAGGTAAGGTAAAATGTAAAGTAGCCGGTCACGGTAGCCGAGCGGTCTAAGGCATGTACTGTCTTCGCTCGCTTGGAAACCGGGATCGTAGGTTCGAATCCCACTCAGGGCATGGATGTTTAGTTTGTGTGTGTGCGTTTTTCTGTGTTTGTGTACAGGTAGAGGCCTTGCGACGAGCTGATCACCCGCCCAAGGAGTCCTACCGAATGCGTAAGATCTAGAAAAACCGAAGTGAACAGAGAAGTTCATGGAGGTAGGCCTAGGCCAACTGGGGCTCTAGTGCCAAGAAAAAAAAAGGTAAAATTGTCCATGTGCTTAACTAATTAAGCACTACGACATGAAGACGTATAGAGGAGTGGATGTATAGATCCACATTTTTTTACCTCGGCACTAGCTGGAGGTAAGCGGTCAGGTTCATCGCTTTACCCCCGGTACCCATTCGATAGGAGATTGGGTGGACCCCAGAGCCGGTCTGGACGACGACTTTACCGGTACTTGAACTCCGACCCCTTGGTCGTCCAGCCCGTAGCTATTCGCTGTACCGACTGCGCTCCAACCCGAAATCCTAACGGGTGCACAATGTACACCCTACTTAAAAGCCTTTTTTTTTTTAATGAGCGGCTTTCATGTATATAAACTTCTGCTTCTTCGTTTGATGGAGCAGGTCCCCTGGCCCGTTCCCAGTCAGAAGCTGAGACTATAGACCTTAGAGAGAGATGGTAGGACTCTTTGGATGGGGGTCAACCCGTCACAAGGCCGCTACTTACACAGAACAACACGAAATCAGAAATAGATGCCTCGAGTGGAGTTAGAACCCACAATTCCAGTATTCGAGCTGGGGAAGACAGTTCGTGCATTATATCGGGCGGCCACTGTGGCCGGATTTTATTTTTAAACACTCATCTCCCGAATACGGTGCAGAACTGTTGCAAATCTGACCACCATGTCATTCGGTTTGAGGCAGAAGAGAAAATGATTTTGGACTGACTTTTAAGGTATTTACTCCACCACTATTTTATTAACTGCCGCGTTACAGTCCAGAGTGGTTACCTCCAATGGCACATCCCAGTTGCATGGAGAGCGCATGCGTCATTGTGAGGTAGATTCGGTCTGTCAGTGGAGTGACAACCAGTCTTCCACTCAGCCCCATGTACTCATAGCCGTAGTCGAAACTTCCTGCAACACATGCACGAATTCAGTTCCTACCGAAACAGAAAGTACAACTTTCTTTTAACGAAATACACGGCCCTGGAAATTTTCAATTTAAACTGGTAGCCGTTGAGCATTGGTGCCTGAAAAACAGTGGCTTTTCTATTATAGAAAACTGAGTAAAATTTTAGAGAAACTATAATAAGGATTAAATGAGCTTGGAATATATTGAAAAATATGTCACCAATGAGGCTATGATAGAGTGGTCATTATGAATCACGTCTAAATATTCTAATATTTGAGGAAATTATTATTAAAAACAAATGTATATATTGCACAATACATAGACCTACGCACATGTATTATTCTGATATGTTGGGTTTTTGGACTTTATCCATCGTCCTGGTTTTTAAGATAACAAATAAAAACACGACGTTTCGGAAACTGGATCTGTTTCCGTCCTCAGGTGAAGGAAAACACCTATTCAGTTTGGTCCGTTAGAAAGAGCTAGCCTCAATCACTGGACCAACGGACCCAACTGAATAGGTGTTTTCCTTCACCTGAGGACGGAAACAGATCCAGTTTCCGAAACGTCGTGTTTTTATTTGTTATCTTAAAAACCAGGACGATGGATAAAGTCCAAAAACCCAACATATCAGTGTGTTATACACCATCGTCAGAATCCTATAGTAACTACATGTATTATTCTGTTCAAGAATTTTGAATTTTTTCCATTTTTTCTTGATTTCCCTTCCTTTAAAATGTTCTGGGCCTATTAAATTATTCTTCCGTCAATCAGCCTTAATTGACGTCACACGTGACAAATATGGCATTTCTCGGAAAAAAAAATTCAGGAAGAAAGTTACAGGACAAAATAAAAGGCTACTGTGTTCTGGGGGTACCAACATTTCGGAGTTCAGCCTACCATGAAGATGGAAGCTGATGATTCCTCTAAAGTACATGTACACGTCTACAAAACTACACGGCGTCACATCGCAGAAAATTCTCAGCACCGTGAGAAACGCGGATATACACAAGACAAAAGTACGTGGACAGAGAAAATAAACACTCGAACAAAAATTTTTTTGAAGTTTTGTTTCCAATTCTATTTTCACATTAAACAGTTTCTGCTTATTAGGCGTAGAATTATCTTAACATTGCCTTTCACAGCAAATTTTCACGACAAGATATATTTTTCATAATAGTAGTTCTCCAGTCTGCACTTTGCAGCTTTTGCTGTATGGTAGGAGAGGCATGTGCAAACGGGTTGATATTATCGTGATGTAGAGTGCCACAACTGCGCAAGAGCGCACTGGGAATCAACATAATCTGTTGCAACCCAAACGCTTCTACTTCAGCTTAAGAATTTTGCAGCCACTGCCCGTAAAACTCGGAATCACGAACCCGCCAACATCCTAAACCTTTGGTTTTGTAATATAACACCGCGGCAGAGTAATGCTAGAAGCTGCAAGGTTCCAGTTCCGATGAGGTGGAATTTTCCAATTTACCTAATCCTTCCAGACGCACTATGGCTCTGGGGTCTACTCAGCCTCTAACAGCAATGAGTACCAGGAATATTCTTTGTGGTAAAGGGCGGCCGGCGCGCGAGGCTGATAAACTTACCGCCGTCTGTGAGCCGATTTTCTAGAGAAAATGTGGGAGCCTCAACATCTCACAACCTTATGGACCTTCACGGTCTGTTACAGGGATAGCTTTACTATTTTTACACCTGATCATTACATTTCTGTTTAAACTTGCAGATGCGCCGTCTACAACAAATATACAAAGACATTTCGCGAATGTACGATAAAAATTCTACAATCAACCTGAAGGTTAACGAGGCGGAGACTTCCGGAAGGACAGACTGTGGTCAATGTGCATACGAGGAATCAGGACACTTTCAAAACGTTCTTATTCTATGATATCATTCTTTAAAGGAATATCATTATCTTAATTACACTAAAACTGCGTGGCTTTTAGTCCACAAGCGAACTATACCGGCCGAGCGAACGCCGCCTGTTGGCGAAGTTAGTGCCAACTTTTGCGGATAGAGGACGTAGCGTGGTCAGCGCAACGGATCCCCACGGCTGTTAATCTCGGGTTTCTAGACGGGAGCCGCTACTTTTCCATTCAAATAGTTCCTCAGTTATTCTCACGAGGCTGAGTGGACCCCGTTCCAGATCCACTACTTCTCAGAAAATCTGGTACCGACGGAAATCGAACCCGGGTCCTTTGGATCTGTAGCCAGAAACTCTAACCACTAGAAGGGGTCATCTTAATTAAACTACATAACTCAATTACTTAAAAAGTTTACCTGTGCACTGCCTCACCACCAAGTTGTCAAATGGTTTCCACCAGTAAAACTTGAGCTGAGTTTCCCATTCGAATTCTTGAGCATTCAAAATGCTGCAACAGAGTTAAACATGAAAAGGTTTTCTTTCCTTGTTAATACGATAAAGCTTCACTTTACTTCAGTGGATCTATATTATGGTGGTCTATGCTTAACAATTTGCAACTAACCTGTCTCTGACGAAGGCCTCGATCGTGTCTCTAGCATGGATATCGATAATAAGAACAGTATTGAACTTCCTGCGGTGAATCTTAGTCAAATGAGACCGAACCCTGGCCACTAACTCGTCCAACTGTCCATTCACAACTTCTAGGTATTCTTTCATTGCTCTCTTTTCGCCCTGAAATTTCAATCCACATAATATACACTGCTTACAAATTCACTTCACAACTTCAAGCATTTTTGCATAACATAACCTTTGTTAAACGTACTCATGTAAAACCTGCGCTGAAGCGTTCAATTTATCCCCACTGCTCACTCTACCATTGATGGTTCACTGGTCTAGTGACGTGTTTCCGGAGTGAATAAGGTCTTAACAGATTGGATTTCCGTAATGTCTCAGTAACTTAGATTAATCCTCTTGGGCTTCTAGTTACAGGGACTTCGTATGCCACACAGCACTGAGGGGCTAAATATTCGAAATAGATGAGCCACACACACACAAAATACTAGTGTTGCACTTACAGGATGTGAACAAATCTGAACTACTACTGAGACTTCCGCCATTTTACAAAGGAGCACCAGACGAGCGTGGATATAATCACCGTGTACTTTATAGCAGGCCCGGTCTGTAAAACCGGATTAACGACCGTGGAGATCTTTCTCTTATTGTAGAAAAAATATTGTAAATACAAGAAAGGCCTAGGCAATGCCCATCCGGCCTTCTGTAGCACATTCTTATAAACATCTTATTCTATCATAGCGGTAAACTCGCGATTCGTTGAGCTGACCACGCGACACCCTCTGTCCGCAAAAGTTGGCACTAACTTCGCCGGCAAGCGGCGGTCTCTCAGTCGGTGTAGTTCGCTTGCAGACTACAGGCCAAGGAGTGTTGGAGTAGCAGCCGGTATGACTGAGACAGAAGCCCTGATCCTCTGCTTGAGCTTAACAGACTTGAACATGAGACCGATTAGGGTCGGCGGACTACCGACGGAAATGTGTATGTGTGTGCGTGTGTGCGTGTGCGCTCTCACGCATTCATATACACACCACTAACCCACACTTCCGTCTTGACCTAATCCTTCCAGCCGCACGAGGCCCTCGGCTTTACTCAGCCTCTAACAGAAATGAATACCAGGAATTAATTAAATAATTTTTCTGGGGAGTAAAGCGCAGCCGGCGCATAGGGCTGACAACCTTACCGCCATCTTTGAGCAGATTGTCTACAGAATAAATTAATAACTAAACTTATATATTTCAAACTAAAATAAAAGTGCCTCAAGAATTAAGCAGCAATATTAGCTACACTTAGAAAGATATGGATACAGAACATCTCCTTGTAACAGCATTGCTTCTTCGTGAAGTGTATGCCTGCGAAGTAAAATGGCGGAATAAAATCAGTATCGTTCCAATTAGACCGTGTGATGGCGAGGATAACTGTTTTTGTATTCCTTGATAATGCATTATTTCGAAGCACTTAAGCATACAGTTTTAAGTACTCTGAAATCACGGGAAAATAGTTATAACAGAAGCCTGTTTGGTAATTTTTTTAATTCGCTTAGTGGGGGTGGAGTCCAACTGGGTGCACTCGGCACGGCGGCCACTGATTGGCTTATTGTAGCTTGCCCCGGGTGATTATGATGATGGAGAATTTGGTGGAATGAAGATTGGCAGGGGAAACCGAAGTACTCGGAGAAAACCCGCCCAAGCGCCACTTTGTCCACCACAAATCCCACTTGACCAGACCCGGGATCTAACCCGGGCAGCCGCCCTGGGAAACCAGCCACTAATCGTTTGAGCTATGGAAGGCCCTGTTTGGTAATAGAAGAAATATATTGAATATATTGACTTAATGAAATTGTGCTACTTATCAATACATCAATAAATCTGAAAGCAGAGAACCAATTTACCTGCATCACTTTTTCAAAGACATTTTCCACTTCTGCTGTCCACCATACACGGTTTGCAGCCAGGCACACCATCCCCTGGTAGTCTAACATCCACTCAGTTCTATGAGAAGTAAAAACTAATGAATATGCCGGTGAACATCGGGCAATGTATTGGAAGTCCTACTACAGAATCTACAGTTACAGAGGAAAGACAACCACGCGTCGACAATCTGCTTTATTTTTTAAATATAGGTACCGTCATGTTCGCAGTTTTATTGTTCAGCGGCATATTTCGAGTCTTAACAGACTGAGGCGATTTATGATTCCTGCAGAGCGACTATTATCTTGGCCTAGTCCATCCGTCCGTATGCGTGAAACAATTCTAGAACTGCTGGACCGAATTTCATGACATGTATGACAAAGGAGAATTCTGCGAAAAATTATCTAGCCATTTCATCTTTTACTTATGCTGAATTTAAGGTTCTGATAGCGGTTACTGTGAAGAGTTCTACCTTCTTGTATACAACGCCCTGTAGTACGGTGAAAAACAGCTGACAATTCTGAAAATCATATCGCATCCATCTCAAAGCAGAATAGTAAGCCAGGCAAGAACCCAGAATGAAACGCAAGCAAGCAGTTACCAGAAAGTAAGTTAATATAAGATTAAGGTAACTTTGTCCCTGTGCTTAATTACTTAAGCTCCATGCCTTTAAAATATACGGTGGAGTGGAGGCACAGCTCCACCATTCTTGACCTTGGCATTAAACGCAGTTGAATGGTCAGTTTCACACTCTGGTCGCTTTATCCCAGAGGATAGATCCCCAGATACTCATTGGATAGAAGGCGGGAGAAGAGAGAAATATCTTGCACCTGCCGGGAAAGGAACCCTGTTCACCCAATCCGTGGCGCATCGCTATACCGAGTATATCTTCAGAGAACAGGCATCCAGCCAGGGTTCCAATATTTACCTCTTGTCATTAAGTAAGCAAATAACGAGATATTGTATCATCAGCTATTGAAGCAATACAGTAAGTATGAAATGTTAGTATACTCTTGTGTTCTGATTGAAATCGATACAGGCCTATTACGAATCTGAATTTAAACTTCATAAGTTTCGGGTCTGGGACAACAATTTATGGTTAATGTTGGAAAAAAAATATCCTTACCTGGGTTTTCGTACTTTTCCATAATCGAATATGGCTTTCTTTGTAATGTATCGATTTGTTGCTCGCATTCCATCAAGAAGAGCGTTCATCCATTCTTCAACTCGACCAGCTACAGGCACGGTTTCCCTAAGTTCCATCACCTCTCCTTCGCAAGAAATCACTGCTGAGGCAACAGGGCCATGTCGGCTGACAGAATCAATCCTTAAACACCCCATATTATCAAACATCTGCAACATTTACGCCGTATAATATTCGAGACCAGCAGGAAACTACACAAAATGCCACAAATGTATTATTTATATTATTATCAACACCATCACAAATATCATAATTAATAATGCTAAAGGTAAAGGTAAGAGGTAAAGTTATCCCTGTGCTTAACTAATTAAGCACTACGCCATGAATATGTATAGGGGAGTGGTTGTATAGATCCACGTTTTCTTGATCTCGGCAATATTTGGGGGCGTTCACGTACAAATATTAAACTTACGCTTTATAAAGCTGTGCTTAGGTGAGTTACGACTCACGCCTGTCCCATCTGCGAGTATGGGGCGGACGCTCACCTCTTAAAACTGCAGTGCCTGCAGAACAGAGCGACTCCGCACTATTGGAAAACTTGAAGGGTGCACACCAGTCCACGAACTGCATGTGGTCAAAATTCCTTACGTGTGACTGCATAACTGAATTATGCAGGGCACAAGAAGAAGTAATCCTAAACCATGTAAATCCATTAGAGCTTCTCGTGAGAAGTCTTGTGCGCATGCGTGTCATATAAATCAGAGCTCAAAATTTTGTATCAAAACGGCTATGTTAAGATAACAATCATGGCAACGGTGCGAAATTCATCTTCACTTGCTTCTTCTGTCCCCATGAAAATTACTCTTACTTAATCCAAGTTCTTCCTATTTTTTTTTTTTACTGCTAGTGGGGTGGGACTAAGTCCCTTGTACTACGGCCACTTCTGGCCTATTGTACCAGCCCCAGACGATAGGTGAGGGTGTTTGCGGAGCAATTGGTGGAATGAAGATTGGCAGGGGAAACTGAAGTACTCGGAGAAAACCTGCGCCAACGCCACTTTGTCCACCACAAATCCCACTTGACTATACCCGGGATCGAACCCGAGCCGCCGCGGTGGGAAGCCAGCGACTAACCGCTTGAGATATGGCGCGGCCAAGTTCTTCCTATATACCTCATTTGAGTCTCTTTTCTGAGGGACTAGAACTCTCTTTGGGCTATCGCATTTTTTCACCGGTTAAACATGTCATTATTTATTTCGGCAAAATCAAATTTTTCTGTATTATTAATGTTGTTGTTGTTATTATTATTATTACTATTATTACTGACTAATCTTTAATATTATATCGGCAAATGTAACATAAAATCACTACTAGTGAAAATTATGTACAAAAATGGAACAACAAATGTTGTCATTAATAATATGTAGCTTTCCAACCTCGTCGTGGCCTTCTGGCTGAAGCATATGAAGGATAGACGGCAACATAAGTTCTTCCCAAAACTCCTAACATTAAAACTAATAAGCACTTGTAAAATGATATTTTACGAGAGATGAAATGTAGGATTTACTTTTGGAACATAGTGTGACACCTACCTTCACCGTATATTCTTCAACAGAGGACGGATCACTGCTGCCCAAAATTGATAACAATTCGACATCGGCTATAAAGAAAAACCTTGGGAAAACATTTCTCTTAGCATCTAAATAATCTGTCAGCGATTTCTGACATTGTTCTAGACCATGATTAAGTCTCTGTAGATCACTCAAACGTCCCTCAATCTCACAGCAGGCCTTCACATTCGGTTCCTCAGCAGTCTCACACATCATCTGCAGAAGAACAATGAAATGTTTTAACACTACGATGGTCAAGTTAGCTTTCAAGAAAAGTAGGCCTGATAACTCCTAAAACTTCAGATGTTACTATGTCCATCAACATAAATTTTTCCTCATTTCTCTCATTAATTTACAATTTACTAACATATCACATTATACAGCGCTATGGGATAGAAGTTGGTTGTGAAATGTAAATTGAGAATTATATAAAGGAAGGTGCCCTTAGCCTATTTAAGGTACTATCCTAGTATGTGCCTGGAAAGACACGTAAACCATGAAAAATTCAAAACCAACCCTGATACCTCTTAAAAAAGAAGCAGGCGCGTCAACCACTCAAAAGTAACGTACTTCTAGAAATATGCCAATTATAAGATGGTCTGTATATAACGTTTGTATGCAGCTGCTTTATATGGGCTTACGTACATAGATCACTAATCACACTCAAGAGAAAGCCAGTCTCATGTCTCTCGCGTCTATTCTTACTTTTTGTTTATTTTAACCGAGACAAAAATGTGAATGTAGGCTTATTATTACATGCATAATTGTATTCCTCATGATTAAGAAGTGATCGGTTTTCTTAGACTGTTTTCCGTTAAAAAAAGTAAAGCTCTCTTTAAAGCACTGAAAATAGTGTGAAAAATTATCCAAAGAAACGGGTAGAATTCTAGACCATTTAAATTGTCTGCTCTTTTACGCAAAACATCACAACAGAAATGTAAATTGAATCTGCGAGGAACTTAAATCTGTGATCTTCTGTATGAGAGAGGCAAGAAAGTTCATGTTTTGACCGTTCAGCGGGTGCACTATTGCTTAATTACTTAAGGAGCTGAGCCCTTCTTGAGGAGCCGCCAAATCTGCAGATACCCAAGAATTTCCCAGCATTTTATGGAAACCGAAGGTTCACAAGATACCTCCACTGTTCCCTAATTCTGAGCCAGATCAGTCCAATCAATACCATCCCATCCTATCTCTCTAAGATCCATTTTAATATTGTCCACCAACGTACTCCTTCGTCTTTCCAATGGTCTCCTTCCGTCTGGCTTTCCCACCAATAACCTATATGCAGTCCTCGTCTCCTTCGGGGGATGCACTATGAACTTCAGACTTCTCATTTATCAACTTCTCCATTTTAATTATCAATGAACTTTATCTGTGAGTCACGTCATGGTAGAAAAATATAATTCGAATTTCAGCATATATAAGCAGAGATAAATATTCCTACGGTACTGAATGACTGCATGACTGGATTGATATCTGACGAGACTGCACCATGTAGGTAAGAGGTTGTTATACATAATTAATTCTGGAGCAATTTGAAGGAAATTGCAGTTGCCTATATTAGTGTGGAGAGTCAGTTAATCAACCAAATTGCCCAGGCAATTAGAACTAGCGCTCCACCCTACTCTCATAGTGACTTACCATACACTTACCCAATCAGCGATGTGACCTTTCAAATGAATTGGCTTAGTACATTTTACTGAAATGTACGAAGGTTTATGATCGACTTAAATATATGTTCATAACAGTAGACAATAATTTCGTAAGGGAGCAACACAGACTGAGGGTGTTTGAGAACAGGGTGTTGAGGAGAATATTTGGATCGAAGAGAGACGAAGACACAGGAAGTTATAGAAAACTGCATAATGAGGAGCTTCATAACGTGTACTCTTCTCCAAGTCTAATTAGAATGATAAAGTCAAGGAGGATGAGGTGGGCAAGAAATGTAACATGAATGGGGGAGAAAATGAATGCATATAGGATATTGGTGGGAAAGCCAGAAGGAAGGAGACCAATGGGAAGACCAAGGTGTAGGTGGGTGGACAATATTAAAATGGATCTCAGAGAAATAGTATGGGATGATATGGATTGGGTTGGTCTGGCTCAGGATAGGGACCAGTGGATGGCTCTTGTGAGCACGGTAATGAACCTTTGGATTCCATAAAATTGTGAGAAATTGTTGAGTAGCTGCATATTTGGCTTCTCCTCAAGAAGGTCTCAGCTCCATGAATGAGTAAGTAAGTAAGTAAGTAAGTAAGTAATATGAACTTAAGTCTGCAATATTGATCTGTTTAACTCTCTTCTCTCCGATTTACTGAACTTCCTGAAGTCCAGATACCTTGCGGAATTCCATGTCGATACCATCGAATTTCCTGGCTTCTTCTGGAAGCTCCTGTCTGACATCTTCTCCCACAAAGATTCCTTCCATGTACAGCCATTTGCGTTGTACTGACAGCCACTCGTCCATAACCTCACTAATGAGAGACAGTGTTTTCTCCCATTTCTGGACTACTGTCAAGAACGGGCCAACAAATCTATAAGCAAGAAATAAATTGCATTATTCTGTAATATGAATGTATATACGTGTACATATCACTTTTCACTGGAAATGCTCCTTAAAATCACGAAATTCTGTTCGCCTAAAACGCCGCTGGCTGGGACATATTGACACACTGTCAGACCTACATCACCACCAGACATTTCACGACGCGGAACGACGTTTATTTACATTTTTTTTTTCCAGACGACTGCTCCAGTTTTATTGGTCTGTTGCTAACTGAAGAACTTTATTTGTAATTTTCCTTGTATCAGGTCTACATATTAATTATTTGTGAAAAGTTTAGTTTGAGGGGCACGCGGTAGTGTTGTTGGTTGAGGCACTATGCTATAGGCCGGAAGGTCGCGGGATCAAATCCGGATGAGGTATATTTTTTCAATTGACCTAATCTTTCCAGCCGCACTATGGCCCTGAGGTCGACTCAGCCTCTAACAGAAATGAGTACCAGGAATATTCCTGGAGGTGAAGGACGGCCCATGCGTAAGGCTGACAACCTTACCGCCATCTGTGAACCAGTTTTCTAGAAAATGTGGGAACCTCAACATCTCACAAACCTACGGGCCTTCACAGCCTGTTACAGCGATACTTTTTTTTTTACTTTACAGTTTAATTTCATCTTTAAGTGAAGAAGTCATATTGAACCTAGTGGCGATATAAATGGGCTCCAGTGGTAACACTGCTGACTGCTACTGGAGAAGTTCCCAATACTGACTATCCTGAATGAGGCTTTTCGTAACCAACAAAGTAGTTACATCAACCATATGTAAATGTGTGGAGCGAGGGAACTAAAATAAATTCGCCCAATGAACTGTAGGCAGACTCACAATACTAAATTTCTTCTGAATTCAGTAACATATTCAGAGAGGAAACATGGCGGATCCGGCTTCCCTTGTTTATATACATTCATTTAGTGCACTTTTGCTAGAAGACACAACAATAGAGGTCTCAAGATATAGCTTGTGAATCGAAAATCTCTTGTAGTTTCTTAAGTTCAATCAGAAAATTGTCCAGCGCATATCATCTCACTCTTTCTGGCTTAATCGAGCACGTGAAAATTTCAAAATGGGGTTTACTTCTGACTCTACTTACTGTGAGGCTGCCATTCTCTGCAAGCTCATGAAATTGTCATCCAGGGTCAGAACAATATCATCCACAGGCCCCAGAATAAAGCCCCGGTCATAATTTTCTTTAATATGTTTCATTGCAGTAAACTTCATTGCACTCCAAACCTCTGATATTTCTTTGACACCTTTTTCGATTTCAAGTTCTTTAAGAGCATTAGCAACGATCTCTTCTGCGATATCTCGATATCTGTGCAGTTGCATAGCGAACATACTCTCAAGTGTAAACCTGTCGGCTGACATGTCCAAGTGATGGCCTGAAAACAAAATGTGAACATTAACATTCGACTACACTTACCTTAATACCAATTGTAATGAAACAGAATATGCATGGTTATGTAACGCATCCGTTAACATATCGCAATTAAAACCAGTATCTCATAGATTGAGTTTTAGTGTTTGCCGCTACCCGTGTCGTAGCTTTACGGCACGTAAAAGAACCTCATGCCTCAAGGAGGTCTCTGAGCCAAATTAAACGGACGTTTCCCGCCCAACAATAGTCTCTAACGCCTCTGGTAGATGGGGGAAGCATCTAGATACCGCTGAGCCAGTAGAGGCCGAACTCGATGGCTGAGTCGGGACTGATGACACGCACCATTATTGGTAGGGTATAGAGACTGGTAGAATATCACAGGGGGACGTACAATAGACCACTGGTCGCGGTGCATGGGGAAACCCACCCCCTTCATTAATAATAATAATAATAATAATAAGTAAGTTTTGAGGTTTTCACGGCGATGACTATGAAGAAAGTCGTCTTCTGGGTTTAGGCGCCGTGTATTCTTCGTTTTGGCCGACGTTTCGGAGGAACGTATCGCCTCCATCTTCAGAGCAGTTGAATGGCTTGGAACCTGCTACTGCTCTCTGCATTCCAAGCCATTAAACTGCTCTGAAGATGGAGGCGATACGTTCCTCCGAAACGTCGGCCAAAACGAAGAATACACGGCGCCTAAACCCAGAAGACGACTTTCTTCAATAATAATTATTATTGAAAAAATTATTATTGAAGAAAGAAACGAAGAATACACTTATTATAATAAGTGTTTACCGCTACATGTTTCGGTCCTCGTGGGACCATCATCAGGCAGTGTATACAATAAATACGATAAAGTTAATTGAAATCTCGGCATGGATCCATATTGTGCTGCATCGCGTCCATATTATAAAAACTGTAAAAGTTGTAGAAAATTGTGCCTTGTGTTATGATGAAAATTACAATATCCCGGTGCTTCGTAGAAGTCCACGAGAAGTACAGTTCGCAAAAAGCGATCTATCTATGCCACTGTTTCGTAGCTATGTAGCCCTATGCAGTTTAATGCATAAAACGATCTATCTGTTATCATGAGCAACCAGAGCGATTAACGCCATAAAATAAATATGATGGCACATTATTCCCTTCTCGAACCTGATTTTAGTGGCATGCAAACTGTTTCTTTCTTCCAATGCACTAAATTTCACACGTCAGTTGTGTGATGAAAATGGTCTATTACTGCTTAAACTTCTTAGTGCTGCATATAGAATATAAACCTAAAACACACGAAGTTACAAGCAAGTGCTTAATAAAGTATGCGGTATAAAAATACGCAAATGTCTTATTGCAATATAGAATTTCTTTTTCAAGCGAACGGGTAATTTAACAACTAATAAATAAATGTAAATTTGTTAGGTCATCTCGATATGTGTCACAAGAGGCCAGGAATGTGCATGCATGAACAAGTTAACAAAACAAACCTGTCTTATCCATGAGCTCCTGCCAGTGTCTGCCTCTGAGAGCATCATTCTTCAGCTCAACAAAGAGCGAAACAGCGTTCTTGGTATCTTCCATACGCGTGCCCAGAACATGGCCCACGGGCAGCTGCTTAACAGCCTCATTAAAACATCTGAACTCACGCATAAAATTCTCCATTCCATCGAACAGGACCTCGGGGTTAAAATTCACCCACAGAGTCTTAGACCACACCTCACAAGCGGCCTGAAATAGCAATGCCTTTATGGAGAAAGTATGTAACATTAAGAATTCTAACTTTGGAATATACTGCCGTGTAGTATGCTACATACAAGAAAACAGAATTCTTCATAACCACTACAGTGACAACCTCAAATCTCAATGGCCAAGATCGTGTGAATTCGTCCGACAATTTCGTAAAAACTAATTTGCGGGTGAGGTAATGGAATGTGTTTTGTGTTCTGCTGGCATCTTCAGGTATCTGGGTTTTAATTGCATGAAGTGGATGTCAACTGTCCCAATTTCTACTAAACGAAGCTTCTGTTAGAGAGTCAGGGTGAGACGGGGGCAGTAGAATGTAAATGACTCATTCAAAACAAAAATAATAGTCATATTCTACATCAGGAGAACTTTATATTTTAACCACTGTTATTATGATATAAGAATGCGAAGAACCAATAGACACAGTCTATATTTAAACATATGCCTATTGTATACAAAGGCGTCCTACTGTATTCTACTAGGTTTCGTTTGATCGAAAACGTTTACTTGCTGTACGTCACACTACATCTTCTTTCAATTACTGTTTGTACTACACAAATCGAAATTAACGGCCCTGGGGATCCGTTGCGCTGACCACGCGACACTCTCTATCCGCTAATGTTGGCACTAACTTCGCCGACAAGCGGAGGTCGCTCGGTCGGTATAATTCGCTTAGGGACTATAGCCACGATGTGGGTTTTGTTTTTTTACTACACAAACCCCCACACCCCCTAAAAACCGAGAACTGAGTTTCCGTTATATGTTGTGCGAGATCTCTTTTGCCTAAGGCACTGTCCCATTCACATCCGACAACCGAGATCCAAATGCACAATGTTTCGGAGGATGGCCATATGTCCGTCTTCAGGAATACGACAAGGATATCAACACCGTACAGTAGGTCAGATGAAGCTAGTGATTTTGCTAGACTTAAGCACTTGCCCTTTTTATAGCGAACAGCTTTACCTAAAGCCAAACGTTTTTAAGAATTTCTAGTATTAAATGCATCCCAGGAATTGCATTATCACGAATTATATGTGGAAACAGATACACGCTCTCGTTACAGACACGCATAAGAATGTGTATGAAATACTACGTTAATATTCGTCCAGAACCAAGGAATTTTAATGGAATTAATCAATACGACATTAATAATTATATGTCATTAAAGGAGAGGAATCATTATAAAGGAACACTTGCTTTTTACAAATGTGTTTTTGGATATTATCCATCGCCTTGTCTTCATCTAAAGACCGCCCAGTTTATTTTTATAAATACAACGTTACATAGACTGGATTCTGTCTCCTTCTTCAGGTAAAACCTACTCACTTAGGCCCAATTGACAGAGCTAGTCCCTATCTCCGAACACCTGTGCCAGCTCCAAGATGGGGTATACAAGCCAAGCACAGCACAAATTATCTGCGAGTTCCAAGGAAACATTCAATTATTGAAATTCCACACGCATAAGGCCTTGCACCAGAGAGTTATCTCGATTGAAATCATCGCTGGAGAGAAGCAATACTCCTTATGGCACCAACATAAGAAAAATAAATTGCTCCATTTAAACTACACTTGAAGGCGTTGTAGTCTCTTGATTTCTGCTGTGATAGCGGGGGTCCAGATGTGAGAGATGTCCAAACTGGATTGACTCATCGGATGGTCCAGCAGAGACATATGGGCTGATTCCTTGTATTTCCTCTATGTGGTGTTGGGCTCCATCTACAAGAAACCAGTCTCCGAAACGTGTTTTTTGAAAAACAAACAAGATGGTTTTTTAGATAAAGACAAGGCGATGGATAGTGACCATAAACCTAATACTTGCACTAATATACCATCGTCACAGACTTTCAGATCTTAAATACTTACCTTTTGTTCTTTATAAAGCTTGTAGATCTCTTCAAAGCCTTCCATGTCAGTCTTACATTTTATGAAGCTCGAGTAATCAGTTAATGGAAGGTCAAACAACATCTCAGCGTTGACTAGGTCTAGGCGTTTCTCTTCTAATTTGAGTAACAGCGGCCTGTACTCCTGTGGTCCAAACACTTCAATTACTATTACTATCATTCATGCTACATGCCCAGCCCACCTTATGCTCCTTGACTTTATCATTTTAATTGTACTTGGAGAAGAGTACAATTTATGAAGCTCCTCATTAAAAGTAATATATTAATAGATTAAAAATAAAATGTATCAGTAAATCTGGGTACAGAGACTTAACAATAAGTATTTCCTGAAACTCATTGATTGCCTTACGTCCATACGCAACAAACCGCTGTCTAGGTCTTGGCCAACAGAGCCCGGCCCTTCCTCCTCAAAGCGAACGACAAAATCCGCAATTATCTTAAGAAATTCTTCAATTTCTTCGACTGTGAGCTTCGCAAATCTAGCCTTCGTGGATTCCAGCATCAAGGATCTGCTGAGAGCCTTCACGTAGAGCGCTTCCCACATTCGCTGCACTTCGTGCGCCATATCCTCGTCTTCTTCAGGTGCCTTGAAACAGATACATTAAGATATCAGAGAAACGGAAGAAAAGTTAAACTTCCGGTGATATTTGTCTCTAGGGATGACAAAATTTTCTCATAAAGTTTCTCTTAATTACTAGCATATACATACACACACATACGCACTAATGCATACACGCATGCATGCATACATACATACATACATACATATATACGTGCATGCATACATAACTACATACATACATGGATACATACATGCATGCATACATAACTACATACATACATGCATGCATACATAACTACATATAAGGCATAATGATTCTGCTCTCGGTACGTATTCCATTCACAAGGCGTCCCCTTACGATCCAGCTAAATGCTAACCATCTGTCACCTCGATCTTAAAAGTGGTCATTTTTCAAGAGGTTTTGTAGAAAAATTGTTATGTTATCTTTATACCCATTGGTAAGTTTCTAACAACAAGTGCTAGGTTTATCTGAACATTTCTTTGCAACGTCGTAATTTACATGTACCATCAGGAAACCACTTAATATACCATTGTCAGTGAGCAATCTCCGGGTTTCTACTTTCATTTGCAACAGAGAAAATGTTACAGCATCCTGGGCTCAAGAACGTAAACAAATATCCCCCCCTCAATGCTTTTCGTTACAGACTTGGTTCATTGCCGAGTTTATTATTAATTTCATTGCAGTGTAGGCTATATTGAGGGGCTTTGAGAGCGAAATACAAACAAGAATATGTAGACCCACAAAAGAAAAAGTAACTAAAAGTGGTTCTGACAAAATTTCAGCATGAAGGACTCCATCACTGGTTAAATAAAACACAGACGATATATACAAAACATATTAGAGATATGACATATATGCTACACACAAAATTTTTGTTGGAAAACCTCAAAATAATAAAATATTTTTGATCGGTAATATTAAATTCGATCGAGACATAAGCAGAATGTGAAGCTATAAACTGCATTTGAACGACTAGTTACAAGTCCTGCAGTATCAGCTTCTGATTCACAAAACTTCCTGATCATCTGAATAACTTCTACTCGTCAGTTATGAAGCAATCCCTATCCCAAGGGCTAAAGGTAAAAAGGCAAAGCTATCCCTGTAACAGGCTGTAACCGTACCACTGCTATGCAACCTGTTTAAATGTAATTAATTTTGTTAAGTACAAATTTAGTTGTTCACAATGAGATGCAATGAACAAGTGCAGGGAGACATAGGTCTATTCTTGCATGTAAGAGTTAGCGTCTTCCCACACGTGCAGCAGAAAGGGGAAGACACCGTCGCGGGGTCCTTAGAAATTTTACTTGAAAGTGTAACAACGAAAACTTCGTGAATTCAATACTTGACAGCTTGTGCATGTCATAACTTAAAATAAGGGGGTTTTAATGACCCAAGTCAAGCGTAACATTTGTCAAGATTCTGACAGAAAGTATGTTGGAGCTCAGAAACCTAAAATCCTTGCAAGCTTTAAACGGAGTGGAGGAATAACTAATTAAGAGACCCATATGTTTTGAATGTGACCAATCACTAAAATGTAAGGGTGTGACAGAGCCGAGACGCTGATGGAACAAGGACTTGATGGTTCGAAGGGAAGTCAGTTGTCGAAGTCAGTCACACACCGGCCCTCGTAGAAATCAGACGTAAAAGTTACATGCCGGAGCTTGTAGAAACAAAACATAAAAGTTACTGATTTTGAAGTTGTACTAAGAAGTGGCTCAACAAGTGTTTAATAATAATAATAATAATACATCTAAACTTGATATGTGCTTTTGTAGTTTGTTTTCATCCTTCTTCGAGTTGTGGCCCGTTCAAGGCTCTGAGATAAAATTTAGAACAAGAAAGAAGTACCTACAAATGCGACCAACGTGTGTGGGAGAGCGAAGATAATAATTGAGTTTAACAAAAGGAGACGGTAAACAAAGTGGAGTAAAATGTAGGGGCTATAAAGTGGTTCGGTTATAAGGCCATGAAGACCCATATGGTTGTGAGACGTCGAGGCTCTCACATTTTCTCTAGACCATCGGCACGCAGATGGCGGTAAGGTTGTCAGCACTACGCGTTGGCCGCCCTTTACTCCCCAGGAAGATTCCTGGTACTTATTTCTGTTAGAGGCTGAGTCGACCCCAGGACCATAGTGCGGCTGCAAGGATTAGGTCAATTGAAAAAATTACCTTATCGGGACTCGAACCCGCGACCTTCTGACTTCTAGCATAGTGCCTAAACCAACTGCGATACAAACGATTTCGTTAACTAATTGGTTAATTTGTTTTAATTAGTTAAACAATTGTTGAGAAACATAATAAAAACATGTGTACCCCACTAGAATACCCATATCTTTCAAATTAGATACTTTCAGTTTTACAGAGACCTACATAGCGATCATTAATAACTTGTATTTTGTCCATCTTGAATTTAACTCAGTGTTCACTCTTAAAGTACAATCTGATCATCGAGTCTGGCAATCCTATTCATTGCGGCTTAGAAGTGAAATTAGTAGAGACAGGGCGACGATTTTAGACAGATTTCTGCAGCTAGAAGATTCTGAGTTTTCCTCTGAGCAACACATGCATAATTTGAGCAAAAAGAACAAACTTACTGGAACTTTATGTTCGCTGAGTGTATGGTACCGTTCTTGCAGCTCTCGGTACGTCAGTTCTGCATTCACTGACATTCTGGTGATAGTTCTGATGACTGTTAGTACGAACTTAAATCCTTCCAAATCGTCAAATTTTCTCTGGATATCAGAATCCAGTTTCTGTAACATATAAGTTTGAACATGTAGTAAGGTCTTTTTTCACGGGCTCTACAGCCCCCTTGGGCCCTGACCTCTGATTTTCAGTTTCATGATCATTTTAGAGACGATAGGACTCCTTGGACGAGTGATCAGCTCGTCGCAAGGCCTCTACCTAAACACAGGAAAACACGAACACAGAATAACACATACACATACCAAACATCCATGTTTTCTGTGTAGGGATTCGAACCCACGAACCCGCCTTCCGAGCGAGCGAAGACAGTACATGCCTTAGACCGGGGGCCACTGTGACGGGTAGCTGATTGTATAGGAGGCTGGTTGGGTCCCAGAGCCGGGTTGGAAGAAAAAATTCTCTTATCATTGCCGGCAATCGAACCCTGGCCGACCAGCCCGTAGCCCAACGCTATACCGACTGAACTTGGCCAGCTCACTTTAAAATCGTTTACCATGCATAATTTTAGAACTCTAAGATTACTTGTCACTTCACCTTAAAATTTCATGCGTCTACCGTGCCCACTTTAGCAGAGTGTTATTGACTCTATACTGCATAATTGCACACCCACTGTTAGGCAACGGGTTGGTAAACAAATTTCCGGAAGACGGAGTCTTTATAAATAGTCCATTGCTAGTTTACGCAACAATTCTGACCACAGAAGAAGTGATCTCCATGTTGTCCGTGCTATGCCCAGTGCTATGCAACAGAACTGTCAACACGTCTACAATAATAGGTATTTACTATATGGTCCGTGCCGAAGGTTTATAGGGGACAGTGACCCTGCGAGTCGTAGGAGGCGACGAAAAGGGAAGTCTCAAATCTGAGACAGTAAAATATTGTCGCAAGTCCCAACGGACTCAGACCCAAGATTGACTGCACTGGCAAGGGTCAGCAGCATATGCAAAAGGCAGACCCGTCCTCTCGTCAGAGAGGGCGCCCCACAAAAACAAGACCGTAAATGCCAAAGAGTAATAAATATCTGGTCATGAGTCCTAGATGGGGCTCGACACCAAGATTTACTGACTGACTGACGACTTTGACTTTGACTTGTTGGAGAGTACAAAATCATGAGAATGAACATGTTCATGGTATAGGACAAGGTGAAGCCAGACAGAAAATATAAGAGGCCTAAACTTGGCGGTGGTCAAGCTTACGACCGTTCAAATGACTAAGTTTTCGTTGTAGCATAAGATATGTAAGTTAGGCATGATCTGCTTTGTAAAGCCTGTACTGACAGAGGACTTATGTATAAAGCAAAAGGAAGAATTTTCGATAACATATTATATGTGCAAAATATAGACTTGACGAAAGGGCGAGTGTATTCATAAGAGACGGACCCATCTTCTCGTCAGAGAGGATGTTACATAAGGACTATTACTGCAAGAGTTGGAAAAAAAAATCTCTGGTCGTGAGCCTCAAGGGTCCTGACGCCAAGACGAACTGATTGGAGGTAAACCGCCAGTCGTAAAGTAACTCTGACTCTGACTCTTCAGTCAGTCAGTCAAGGACACGAAGCCATCACGGAATGGAGTTGTGAAGATTCAGGTATGAAGTGTTAACAGACACTGAAGGCTTTATGTGCTATAGTTACAGTAATATTGAAAGTGTGCAAACTAATTGAAGTTGCGACTAGTGCAGATCTAATAACCTGATTCACCAATCCAAACCGGCGTCTTAATCACTGAGACACGTGACAACTGTGTCAGAAATGGGATTTCATCGACTGGAAAAATTGACTTGAAAGTGCATCGCATAGTTATATCGCCACATTATAGAGACGGGAAGATGAGGCCTGGCGTGAAGAGACGATCTCCTGCTAGGTAACGACGGAGGTGTGTCTGGATTTTAAGGAGCTAAATCTGGAAGACATGGAATCCGAAGTGGAACATCGGGAGGTCCGTACGGACGAGGCCGCAGCGAAATCTCCGGGAAGAATGAAGAAGCAGCACAGGGGCCGACACCTAGCTGCAGGGCGACGTGGAGAGCCATAGGAAGTTGTGAATCCTGGAGGAAGTTAGGTGGAGCCTGCAGAAAGGTGTCCCGCCGTACAGGAGTGGCATGGCGCAAGGAATAAGCGGACCAGAGGCAAGGATGAGCGAGTGATCAGGAGAATACGGACGCTCAAGAAGAGAGTGTGGTCACGCCACGAAGGCAGAAAGGGACTGAAGGACCTAGAGGCGGACGGCCGCGAAATCTGAGGAAACAAGATCTGAATAAACTGTGATGGGAAAGCACTGGATGCACAAGAACTGCATGCAGAATTCTGATGAAGAGCCTCTTTTGGGAACGTAAATTTAGAAGACCTAGGAGTCCCGAGGATGATATTAACACGAATCTTAGGGAAAAGGATGTTAGGATGAGAGATGAATGTTCCTGGCACAGGATCGGGTCTGGTTGCACGGCTTTAGTTTTAGTGGTGTCAAGATTTTGAGTTCTCCTTCAGCGGTGATAAATATGTTTAAGCCTAAGGAAGAACGTTTTTCGGTCCATTTTGATTTTAATCTTCTGAATTTATGGCTGCTCAGATTTCACTCAAAACAATCCAGTTTTTGTCGTTATTTTCCATTTATATTGTCACGTGTTGGGTGTGTGACAAGCGACAGATAACTTATTGCATATTCGCTCACAATTTCCCAAGTACTGCAATCCGCAGTATCAAAGTGAATTCTCCTGATGCAGTCACTGCCATTCACGCGATACAACTCAACTCGTAGCTGCTGAAATTCAACTCATACTGAATACTAGTAACTAGCTCAATACTCACTACTCCTGAATAGTATTCGCTGCTCCTTATTTGGCTCGGCACGGATAACATAGAAAACACCTTGCTCAGGTTTGTTGTCAGGTGTTTCTACCTACGCATTGCCTAGCAATAGTCGCTGCACGGACTCACCTGTTGCTTGACGTCACAGCCTAGCGGGGAGGGGTGTTTGCCGAGAGTTGCGTAATGATGGGAGGACTGCGCCATCTACGTTACAATATTAACTGTATAAATTTGGCTCTGATATTAATGACTAAATATATTACATGTTTCAAAAAGTGGAAACTCACCACCAAGAGATCCTTGAATTTCAGCATCAGTCTCTCTGTGTTGTCCGCAAGCCGATGACCTAAGGCTCTTTTCCATTCATTCGCATGGAACTTCACTGCCTCAATTATAGGAACAAGATTGACTCTGGAATATGTGAGCAAGTACAACATAATTTAAAATGATGTGTATTTTGTTGTTTTAATAAGAGTGTATTTCTATATCAACTACGAAATTTTCTCAGCAATGTACATTATTATTATTATTATTATTATTATTGGAGGGGTGGGTTTCCCCATGCACCGCGACTAATAGTCTATTGTACGTCCCCCTTTGATATTCTACCAGTCGCCATACCCTGCCGGTACTGGTGCTCGCTATCAGCCCCGTTCAGCCAGCGAGGCTGGCAGCGGTACCCGATAACTTCCCCATCTACCGGAGGCATTGGAAACTACTTAGGCGGGAAACGTTTTGCCTAATTTTGCTCAGAGGTCTCCTAGAGATATGAGGGTCTTTTACGTGACGTAAATCTACGACACGGGACCCACTTGTTCCCTGAATTTTTCCGCCCTTAAAAATTCCACGACCTCCGCCGACTTTGAACCCGCGTACCTTGAGTCATGAGATGGGAACTTTACCCCTAGACTACGGAGGCCGCTTCAGCAATGTACATAGTAGACATGCTATCTCCCCCTCCTTCACCCCTCCTGGATCGAAGTGGTTTTGACAGGGAAGATTCACTGCGTCGAACTTCAACCCTGAACATTTATGCTACAGATTAGATATCCCTCTGGAAAGTAGACAATTGTTACTACTTCTTCGTGAAAATTCTTCCGCAACAAACTCACTCCTACACTGAAAACAAATGAATCAAATTCCTCCCAAATATAAGTACTTTTACCTTCATAGTTGAAGTCACTACTGTCGTAGAGAAAGATATATGAAGTTATACTGAAGTGTCGTAGTTTGTAGTATTTCGCCGCTAGGGCTTACGGGCGAAATCACGTCGACCTTGAAGACGGAGACAGTAGATTTATCCAGCACATCGGCCATGTTTGATGTTTATGTTAATAGCATAATCACAATAATGATGACAACAACGCAATGGATACAGGCTTATTTCGTTATGTGGAGACGGCAAGAAGCAGGCACGTGAATGTAAACACACAGAAGTAACGATAACTAATTTAAAAAAATAATACACAAATAATACACAAGAATTATATGATACAGAATGAGCAAATTGAAGTGTGAAGGATCTGAATACTCGATTACTTCAGCAAGTTACGGAACTAAACATTTACTAATTAAAACCTGTGCTAGGAAACATAAATCTTGTGGAACCTGTGTTGCTCTAGACGGTACTGCTAGTGGCGGAGTATCTAGCTGGAGGGGGGTGGGAATGTTAATGTAATATATAATGTTAATATATTAATTCTTTGTGTTATACCCGCTTTCGTTTTGTTCCCACAAATAAAACTGAATCATCTATTAAGGGAATGTTACAACAAGTCTCTCAATTCTCGCAAAATTATATGGACCGATTTGCCTATATTCAGCTTCGTGAAATTGTCAAAACACAAATTGTAAATAAAAATTATTTAAATAAACAGATAGATTATAATAATAATACACGTAATAACTGATGACTGATGATATTTTTCAGAGATATCAGAAACAGAACCACGTGCCAAGTATATGCAATTAGGTGCTGTTTAACATGTTACCTTGTGCAGTAGATATCGCGGTATGTTTCCACTTCATCAATATCTTTTATCAGTCGTTCATAAAATACAAACTTCTCATCATATTGAAGCAAAGTTGGATTCTTTGCGCTGAATCTGTCACAGGTGATGTTCTTGTCAAACGACCAAAGATTCTTGTATTTCTTCCATCTAGAAGAACAATCGGAAATTAGTACATATGTAAGACGACTTCCGCTAAAACAGTAGCATTTCTTACTCTGATTCGGAGATACCTGGTTCGAATCTTGGCTGGAAAACTAGAACCGAAGTATTTGGTGATTTTACTCAGACTCTCCACGAAAATACTGCTTTAGTACCACAAATTCGGTCACGGCCGTTTTTACCGCAAGTGGCATACTTTTACATAGAAGGTTTTACGGTCCCACAGGTTTAAAAATCAGAACTGGTTTTGAAGAAATCACTTAAATAAATCCATAACATTCTAAGACGTAAATATACCAATTATCTCAGTTGTTTATCACTCATACTTCGTATTACTCAGGTCCCGGATTCGAACCTCGGACACAAGACCTAATAGTTTCACTGAAGCCTTCTGCTCTTTTCCTCAGTACCTACAGAGGAATGTTGGGTAGTACCTTAAAGTAAGGTATGACAATTTCGTGCAACATCCTTTCAAATTCATATTTGCATTCATCCAAACATTCAAAATTATACAACCGATGCAGTTGTGAATAAACTTTGAATATGAAGAATGCCATCTTCTGGGATGTGGCGCCGTGTAGATATTGCGAAAATCGACGTTTCTGCCGGGCGTATTGCCTCTATCTTAGGGTTGAAAAATCTACAAGCGAGGAACTATTGTGAGATATGATATAGATGTAATTGATATGTCTCACAGTAAATTATCCAGTACCGCAATATAGAACTCTCAAACCCTTATGAGATGCGTTTTAGAAAGTTACATTTGTCGGTCCTGAACCACTGGACATATTTCCTTGAAATCGATATCGGAGGAGACTTACATAAACCCTTACTGGGCAGTTCTATTTTCAAGCACATTACTCCCAAAAGAGCCTGATTTGCATGTAGCCACGAACTGACTTTCCTATTCGTCGCAGATAACGTTAAAATTCGTTGTGAAGAATTTCACCAAAATGTGTTTAGCGATGCTAATTTTCAGTCGTATCGATAAACAATAAAGTGAGTTTGCTTTGGGACATTGTAACGCCGTGGTGGCAGGGGGACGTGGAGGTATCCCACCTCTGCCACCACTTGTAACGCCGTGGAGCAGGGGGTCGTGGAGGTGCCCCTCCTTGCCACCACAGCTTACGCTGTAAGGAGTTTACCCCATAACATACATGGGATCACACAAACGCTTCCACAAATCTCGTTGAAATTTAATGTGGAAGAATAAGTTTTTTATTACTTCTACTCTAAAGGAAAGTTTAGTAAAATTCAAACAACACCGTTGGTAATTTTGTGTGCTACATTATGTAGTACAACCTTTGTAGTCTTGTTAATAATACTTTTGGGTAGAAAGGTAAAGGTATCCCTGTAACAAGCTGTGGAGGCCCGTAAGTTTGTGAGCCATCGAGGCTCCAAATGTTGTAGGCAACTGGCTCACAGATGGCCGTGAGGTTGCCAGACTTATGCACTGGCCGCCCTTTAACCCAAGGAAGATTCCTGGTACTCATTTCTGTTAGAGGCTCAGTCGAACCCAGGGCCAGAATACAGCCGAAAGGATTAGGTAAACTGAAGAATGTTTTCGGGCTACCTTTTCAGATATTTCTGTACTTCAGAAACCAATCTGTGTGCAGTGTCCTGGACCCTGAGGACCATGTCGCTCACCACCGGAACGATAACAACATCTTCGAAGAACGAAAATGTGTAGAGTTGATTAGTGTCGCTTGCTTTCACAGGTTCGCATTCGAGACAGCTCCCATTCATCCACCGAGGGACACGCTTCAGCCTAAGGAAAAGATTTGCATCAGTTACCCAGTGTCTATCTGCTGCAACGCCAGGCTTGGAAGCTAGAACATGTTATCAGTACCAAGCATCTTGACTGCCTCTCTTTGTGTGATTCCCCTTATTAAATCTGAAAATGTTTTTCTTCGACAATCATGATATAGATTTTGAGTTATGTCCACACTGTGGCGACCGCACAGGGCTTCGAACTTTTACTCAGGAATTTTCCGGCTCGAATTTTGGTCGGGACACAGTCATTACTGAGTGAGTATATGGTTATGTAACGTATCCGTCAACACAACAAGGAAAATGGTATCACAATTAAAATCAAAATCTCATAGATTGAACTTTAGTGTTTACCGCTACATGTTTCGGTCCTCATGGGACCATCATCAGGCAGTGTTTACAATAAATACGATAAAGTTAATTGAAATCTCGGCATGGATCCATATTGTACTGCATAGCGTCCCTATTATAAAAATTGTAAACGTTGTAGAAAATTGTGCCTTGTGTTATGATGAAAATTACAATATAGAAAATATTATAAATATTACAATATACAAGTATTTGTATTTAAAATAAAGTGGCGATAATTAAAGGGAATTGTGTATTACGAATGTAGGATTATTTCTTATTGCTAGTGGGGTGGGACTAAGTCCCTTGTGCTGCGGCCACTTCTGGCCTATTGTACCAGCCCCAGATGATAGGTGAGGGTGATTGTGGAGCAATTGGTGGAATGAAGATTGGCAAGGAAAACCAAAGTACTCGGAGAAAACCTGCCCCAACGCCACTATATCCACCACAAATCCCACTTGAGCAGACCCGGGATCGAACCCGGGCCGCCGCGGTGGGAAGCCAGCGACTAACCGCTTGAGCTATGGCGCGGCCCGATGTAGGATTTTATAATGCGAGTAAAGAGCTGGATATTTCACGAGTGAAATAACTAAAAATATTAAAATAATATAAAATTATGGAGATGTGAAGTTAATTCCACATATGGAGTTGAGGGTTCCGGTGCCTGATACATTTGCATCCAGGCTGTGTTAGCCTCTCCTGATGTGGATGTTGCTCTCCGGGAGTTCCCTTGTGCTGAATGTACAGTATGGACTTGGGGCTGCTTCTGTATGTTAATTTGTTTGCTATATAACGTCTTGGATATGAGCCGTAATGTATTGTTTACTGTCTCGATAGGTAGGCGCGTTCTGTTTGTATGGGTAAGCAGTAAAGATTTGAATTTGTATTCTGGACTATTCTGTTTCGGATTTTGGTCAGGGCACAGTCTGTACTGAGTGAAGCTTTTCTTTGTTTCCCTCAGTCGCTTCAGACATGGTAGATTCCTTCAGTATGGCGACGACCGTTTCCTTCTACATGTTTCCAATTCACTGTTCACTATCATCCAATCATTCTAGGTTCTTCGGGCTGATTTACTAGCAATGCCACACACAAATGGAGTCTCATGTTGGCTGCTCAAACGTTGCAGGTGACAGCAACGCTAGAGACGAACAATAAGCTCTCCTCGAAATGTGTATAGTGGTACATCTCTGTAGAATTTTATCAGTTATGTTTCGGCTATGCGTGTCCATAAAAATATGATGCAAATATACAATTAAGTAAAGTAAATAAAACTATCCCTGTAACAGGCCGTGGAGGCCCAAAGTGTTGTGAGACGTTGAAGGTCCCACATTTTCTAGACAATCAGTTCATAGGTGGTGGAAAGGTTGTTAGCCTTATGCACCGGCCACCCTTTACCCCCAAGAATATTCCAAAAATATTCCTGGTACTCATTTCATTTAGAGGCTGAGTCGACCTCAGGGCCATAGTGCGACTGGAAGGATTAGGTGAACTGAAAAAGAAAATTCAATTACTTCGTTAGGACTTGAACCCGCGACCTTCTGACTTGTAGCATAGTGCCTCAACCCACTAAATATACAATTATTATTACTAAAATCACATGTTTGCTAGTTATGCGATTTCGTAATATTAAGAAATCTTAGGATAGCGTCAAAATAAACATTAGAAAATTTCGCTATGAAAGCGATTCAAAATAGAGTAAGTGTTCATACAAATGTGAGAATGTCGAATTCAGCTTTACGTCGGCTCGGAACAAAGCTGTACAGCAGGAAACTCACTTTTCAAGAAACCCACGGATGCTGCGCAAGATGCTGTTGTAGATGTCATTAGCCGCGGGGAGCAGGACGACTTCTGGGACGGCAAGAGAAGTTTCCACTTGGAACAGCGAGACTTTGCCCAAAAGTAAATCGTTGAAATTCCTCAAGTTGTTCACCACCATCCTGCGGATAAAACGATAAGGATATTAAGGCTTGTTTCTTAAGATAAAGCACGGTTTTATGTAAACTGTTTCGAAAGTCGACAGAAAACAGATGTTATGTATGCTACTATATTTTCCTTCTTCTTCTGTTCTTTTACTTAATTAACTCCATAGAGCAGGGTCCTTCACTCTAAGCTTGTCTACAAATTTCTCGGATTTTGTGCAAACATAAAGCTCATTGCAATATTCACAAACGATCAACATTGGACCCGATCCTGAGTCAGTTAAATCTAGTCCAAAGAGTCAGACATTGTTATTTTGAAATAAACTTTAATATTGTGACGTGTTACGCTATGCNGCACCAAAACAGCTGTTGGCCTGTCATCGGAGCTATCGGAGCGCTGTCATTACTAGGGTAATAGGTAAGTCAACACTCCTTCCCCTACCCTGCCAGCAGTGACGTGGCCAAGGGATGCCGCGGTTACTACGCAGCCGTAAACAACTCCCGACAGCGTTGCCAGTAACACCTGTAAACACAGCGCCAGACAAAAGTGGTGTCTATTACGTAATTGTTTTCCCGTTGTCCGGCTGAGGGTTTATAAGGGAACTACACAGCCGCCGAAGAGAGTTCTCAAGACAGCAGTTACAGTTACGAGTAACGAGTTAGCCAGAGAGTCAGTCACCAGTTAATTTCAGTCTACTAATTGTAATACTGCAGACAGCAGTAGTTGTGAATCTGTAAATTGTTGCGATTGTAAGAGTGAATGTGCAATAAAATTCGCTCCAATAAGGCGTGAAGTTATTTGTCGCGTTATAAACCCCAGGCGTGACAATATTATTCTCAAATCTAAGCCTAGGTCTTCTCACTGGTCTCCTGAAGGTTTTAATGTTATCGTGACAAGGAAATCAATCCACTTACTACAGCCTTTTGCTGTTTGTGAAGCCGTTTTCGACGATTACCATCAGTACTAATACTTTATATATGTTAGATATAAAAATTAATATCCTTTCATGGTATTAAGATCAAGTACGCCACAATGACTTACAATGGTAGTGTTCAATGAAAAATTATACAGGAAAGCACAGGAAAGAATTTGTAGAAATTTTTTGTATTGTAATTTTGATATATATCGAGAAGAAAAGCTAGCATAATTGGCCCATGTGTAAATATATATATTAATGTTAAATGCAGACTATTTATTTGCTAAGAAACCGGAAAATGCAGATAGTGAAAAAGCTTAAATATATCGCACTGTGGAAAATTGTATATTATACGAAATGCTAGGGGATGTGAAACACTGCACTGTTGAACTAAGTGAAAGAATACAGTCAACTGTTAACAAATGAACGTTTCGTAGTATGTCACCTTATTCTCGATTTTTCCTAAATATTTATTGATTAAGATGAAAATTTCTCAAAAGGCTTTTTAATAATTCAAATGAAAAGACCAAATTCTCGTTTGTGACACGATAAGTATAAAGTATAATAACAATTTACATTATATTTTTTGTACAGATAAACGTAGAATAAATAAGGGGGTTATTCGCTACCAATCAGTCCTGCCTCGTTCCTAAAATCTTAAGATTCAAATCTGGAGAACTACTTATAGCGTTATCTGTTGCGTCATACTGGTGTGAAGCTTCGTGTCTCGCCCTAAGGAATGGATTGAAATTGCATGAGCTTGCTGTTCGCATCTAAAGAGGAAGGAAAAATTACGTGGATAAAGGAAGAGCTTTGCGTTTTGAATTACTCGATAATTATTATTAAGAAAAAGAAATCAAGGAAGATGAAATACAAATAACATGCTGAGAAAACCCATGCAAAGTTTTAGTACTTAAACCACACTGAAGCCCTAGGGGTACATGCTTCCTTTGGCGCTACAACCCCAATTTGGGCCTTGGCCTACCTCCCTGAAACTCTCTGTTTCACTTCGGTTTACTAGGTCTTAGACATTCGGCAGGACTCCTTGGGCGGGTGATCAGCTCGTCGCAAGGCCTCTACCTGTACATAAACACAGAAAAACGCACACACAAACTAAGCATCCATGCCCTGATTTGGATTCGAACCCACGATCCCGGCTTCCATACGAGCGAAGAAAGTGCATGCCTTAGACCGCTGGGCTACCGTGACCGGCTAGGAATGCATGGGAAGGTAATGAAGGAAGTGTGAAGTTGTTAACTGGATTCTTATGGCTCGGAACAGGGTCTTGTGAAAGAGGTACGGTTCCATAATATGAAGGGGAGCATTTTTCAAGCTGAGTAGCTATAAGCTCCATACGAAGGGGTTGTTTACTTAGACTGTTAGTCAGGTAATTCCTGAACACTGCTTACCTAATGAGTGTATTGAACATATTCTTCTCCCAGAATTCAAAATAAAAAATCATGAGAGGCGACTGCCCCGTTCTGGTCCTCAACACCAAACTTTCCAGCTTCATAAGGAGTGGACCCAGCCCCTTGTAGAGCTTCAGGAATTCAGTCAAGTTCTCCATGCGAAACTTCTCCACTTTGATGAAAAAGTTCTGAAATAAATAGATTAGAAGTCAACTGCTAGAAGCTCGAAAAATGAAAATCACGTATCGCACAACACGAGAACAGATGAAAGTAGTCTCCCCCCACCACCACCCAATTTTTAATATTTAGAAGAGTTTGTGCCTTGTTCCCTCAGTTTGAGAACTGGAAAACAAAAGTGTACCACTGCACTTGGTGACAGTAATAGGCTCACTTTCTAACAACGTAAAAATTGTACCAAACTTGTCAGAATACTACCCTGTTTGTAGAGTACCCAACCATTATAGTTAGTTCTTTTTTAAGATTCTTGTGTTGGGGTAAGACTGAGTCCACTTGGTACGTTGGACACTAATTGGCTTACTGGACCAGCCCCGAATGATAGATGATGAGTGTGGAGCAGTCGGTGAAATGAGAATTGGCACGGGAAATCGAAGTACTCAGAGAGAACCGACCACAGTGGCACTTCGTCCACCACAAATCCCACATGATCTGACCTGGGGTCGAACACGGGCCGCCGCGGTGGGAAGCCGGCAACCAAACGCCTGAGCTATGGAACGGTCATACCCGAAGTATTATAACTTTGTTAACTAATCCCCACCAATGGTATCTCCACCTTATCGTGGTGGTTGGGTTTGAGAGCTCCTGAGACCCTGAGAGCTATGCCGGCGGTAGTATAGCTACTGGTAGGGCCACCCATGCCGGACAGGTCAAGGGGTAGGAGCCAGACAGAGAGGGATACCCTTGTCCTCCAGGTTGGGGGTTGGGCGTCAGGCTAACGACCTCACACTGTAAAAATTAATTGTTCAGATGATGATGATGATGATGTTAACTAAAGCCCGCCTTTAGACCCTAATCTGAGGAAGTCCACATCTATACAACTGCTTCTTTAAGGTCCGTTTTAGCATAACCCTCCCATATAATTCTATTTCCCTCAAAACGGCTTTTCGCTTTAGGTTCCCGCCTTTTCCTTGTTTCAAATTGCTCCGTTAATGATTTGCAAAGAATACAAATCAGGTCCTATACAGCTCCTGAATATATAATTTTCTTGAGACGTTTTATATTTTCTCTATCTCACGTCTAAATCTTAATCAACTCTTTCCACAGGCACTTGACTCACGAACGTTTTTCTAGAATGAGAGATTAATTTTACACCAACAGATATAAAATTAGATTTTGTATGTCTCTACCTTAAGTTTCTGTAGATTACTCTAAGAACATTTACCGTGCAGCTCAGTCTCGCTGGTTCTTCTTCAGGTTTATTGAAGTAAAAGAAGTCGAATTTCTCCAGACAGTCAATGATGTCCTGCACTTCTTTACCTAACTTTCCCATCTGCGCAACTAAAGACGCCAGGTTCTTGAGGATCTGATGGCATTCTCGGGAATACTCTTCTATTCCCAAAGAGTTCCAGTTGAGGCGCGTCAGTCCTGGCTGGACATGCCTCTCCACTTCAAGAAGGTGATCCCTCAGCAACTGAAGCTGTCGACGTTAAGAAAATAGGAACATAAATGATTGAAGAATGTAAAATCCTCTCGATAGATCAGGCGAAATATTAAAATAATATTAGAATATACATCTGAAGGGTCTGGTCTAGGTGTGAGGTGCCAGGCTTCCGGAGTTAGGACCAATAGAAACCAATTTCCCAATAATCTCCAAGTCCCATCTACCTACTCTTATCTTACCGTCAGCTGTAGGTGGAGTTCACCGGATTTATGTTACAAATATTTTGTTTTTGTTTACATACTTTCCACGGTACAGTGATTACCACAACTTTCTCGTATCTGGGGAATCTCTGATTTCAAAACTTTCCACATAGACTGGACATCCTGACTGCAGGTCCTTTGTGATTCTCCTCAGTGGCTTCTGGCAATTGCAGGGATAATCTTGACGAAGCCTACGCGTGGTCTACTGCAGTAACAAACACTATATAAAATTGTGGATTTAGGATCATCTAATTGTTAAATTAGGTTTAACCTATTGTTATGTATAAGATATTATCATATTACGAATTTTATTCTTATTTTTATTCTTATTGTTATTGTATTTTATCGTTAATTTTAACCAGATTCTAGTCTAAGTTTTGTCTAGTTTGTGAATTCAATAGGAACTAACTTGTACGAACTATTTATAAAAATGTGAATGTTAACGTCGCTGTTCGGTAATAGTATGTGAGAAATTTTCAGCACATGAAGATGACCCATTTGAAGTCGAAACTTGCAGTGCGTCCTATATAAATAAATAAAGTATTGTTGTGTTGATGGTAAAAATGATATATGTTCATCTTATCTCTAATTCTTATTTTCAAAACCAGTACCCCTGTTCTTATATCATACAGCTTCAAAAAACTCTCGTTCTTATGTTCATTCTTAGGCTTAATATCTTATTCAACGAAAGGGTGAGTATGAATTAATATGTTGGATGTGGAATAAAGCGATAATGGTCTATTTTAAGATCGGCCTACTATCCTAGTATTTTTCCGGAAGAGCTGAGGAAATCCACAGAGACTTCAGCGAGGGTACGTTGTCTTCGAGCAAAAAACGAGTCCAGTATCTCTCAAACACAAAGAAGAAATCTTACCACTGGCCTCAATGCTCGGTATCCTAGAATTAATAAACAGTAACGTGTAACTCATCAAGAATCTTGCCTCAGCAACAGTAAGACTTTCTACTATTGTGTTGTACTCCTTGATTACAGTCTGAACGGCCTCCAGGTCACGATGTAGGCGATCTTTCTGAACAGCGACACTGCGAATCGTCGGTTCCAAGGCGAAGCCCAGCTGTTCCATTAGCTCCGCTTCGGCAATAATAGCGAAGATGTCTTTCGAAAGATTTGTTTCAAAACACAGATCTTTCTCTATAAGGACCGAGCCTTTCATGATTTCTCCCCATGTAAGGTTTTCTCCTTCCGATACACCTAAGTCCCCAGGATTGGGCCCAAAGGTGGGAGAAATTTGCGCGATTTGCGTCGGAGTCTTTCCCCTGCCTTTCGCAACCCATTTCATGGTCAAAGCCAGAGCACCAATGTTCAGGCTTCCCAGTTTATATCTTCGGGCAGAAGGCATGGGCTGAGACAGAGAACTGAGGGATGAAGAACCAGACGGTACTGATTCCGCTGCGTGACGGGTCTTCAGAATGCTAAGGCCTGTCCGTGGCATTCTTACGCCAACTTTTGACGACTTCCGTTGTTCCGACGAGCCTTTGTCTGGAAATATTATAAAGATAAATTAGCAACAATATTAAATACTGAATGTGAATTAGACTATTTCTTACTCTTCACTTTTATTGCATTTTATATCAAAGTATGGTCCACTTGAGTGAGCCTAGTTGCTCTTTGCAAATCAATTTAATCTAAATTAATTCTAAGGCCGCGCCATAGCTCAAGCGGTTATTGGCTGGCTTCCCACCACAGCGGTCCTGGTTCGATCCCGGGTCTGGTCAAGTAGAATTTTTGGTGGGCACAGTGGAGTTGGGGCAGGTTTTCTCCGAGTACTTCGGTTTCCCCTGCCAATCTTCATTCCACCAATTGCTCCACAATCACCCTCACCTATCAGCTGAGGCTAGTACAATAGGCCAGAAGTGGCCGCAGTACAAAGGACTTAGTCCCCCCCCACTAGAATTAAAAAAATTAATTCTAAATTTGTTTAACATCCACGGGCCACACACGTCTTTAATGTGTAAGTCTACTTCAATTTCCAGTTGACTTTTATTCTCATAGTCAATTAAATCCAAGATTGCCATGGCAAGAGCTGCATTTACTAAGAAGAAGAATCTTTTTACCAGCAAATTGGACTTAAATTTGAGGAAGAAACTAGTGAAATTCTACACTTGGAGCATAGCTCTGTATGGGGCTGAAACATGGACACTTAGGGCAGTAGATCAGAAACATCTGGAAAGTTTAGAAATGTGGTGTTAGAGAAGGATGAAGAAGATCGGTTGGACCGATTATGTGAGAAATGAAGAAGTGTTAATTAGAGTCAGTGAGCAGAGGAATATCCTACACGAAATAAGAAAACGGAAGGCTAATTGGATTGGTCATATCTTACGCGGTAACTGCCTTCTAAAAGAAGTTATTGAAGGAAAGGTAGAGGGGCGGATAGAAGTGACCAGAAGACAAGGAAGAAGACGTAAGAAGATGCTGGATCACCTTGGGGACAGAAGAGGATACTGTCATTTGAAGGAGAAAGCTCTAGATCGCATTAAGTGGAGGAATTGTTTTGGAAGAGACTGTGGACCTGTCGTCTGACAGATTGCCGATGACGATGAGTCAATGAATCACAATCACGTGGGAATCTCCATACTCCAGGGCCAGCTTAACAAAATTACAGGATTTTCTAGCGCGAATATTAATAAACACGGCAAAGGAGCCGCCAGATAATTCTGTCATCAATAGTCAGAAAGATAGGCAGGCATTAATTTCTGTGGACAAGTATTTGTGCTTTTCAACAATAGAAATTATACGTTATCACTCAGATATTCACGGTTTTCTGTAATATAAGTTAAAGTTATTATTAAAATATTTATAAATTTTCAACAGTACAATATTATCAGTAAAATATATGTGGTTCTCAACAACATAAATTATATGTCTTCGTTTAAAAACGCTAAAAGTTTTCTTAAATAAACTCAAAATTAAAAGTATTAATGATTTCTCCACAACGCTGACGCAGTGAGTAGGGCGTCGCATTCATTCAGTCCCAGTTTCAGAAGACTAGTACAAACCTGTCACTGTTTTGCGTTCCACAACCTTCAGAACATTCTTCTTTAGAGCTGAATTTATTATAGAGACTGACTTCTTTTGCCATTGCGAAAATTTTGTATCTTCGTACATTTTCATTTGCTTTCCTAATTTTAAGTAGACGCTAAATGCCTGAAATATTAAATCATAATTTTGTAAAATTTCAGGTAACTGATAATTCCACAATCCATTTTAGAGGCTGTCCTTGATACTGACCTCTTCCCTGAAGCTTGAATTCTTCAGTTCTTCCACGTTCTGGAAAATTAGTACTGATTTTTTCAGCCTGTTGAAGAGATGTCTTGACCAGAAAATTGCCCCAGATATCGGTGGATGATTTCTCAGTAGAGGCGGATACCGTTTTCTTTTCTGAAACAAAAGTGCAATGCGTAACTCGATAAAGAATTTGACAAGATAAGCACACTGCTCGCACCTTCTGAGGCGCTCAAAGTCTGGAACAATCGAAATTTGAAAAATCTGTTCGAGTTACTTTCGATCCATGTACATAGGCCAACGTTATCCTTTGGTCTAGTCTGTATGTACAAAGAATGCCGTCTTCTGGGACGTTGCGTCGAGTAGATATTATATAAACCGAAGGCTCGGAGGAATGTATCGCCTCCATCTTCAGGGTAAAACAAAAAAGAAATATCCACGAGCGAGGAACCAGCATAAACAGGTGGCTGCAGCCACAATACAATATCTACAGGGCGCTACATCCCAGAAGACGGCATACTTCGTAGTCACCGCCGTGAAAACCTCAAATCTTACATGTGTAGGTACAGATCACGCCATGAGCCGCTCCCCATGCAATTAGTCGTGCAAAATGTGCAAATAATTATTTGTTTTGTAATTACGTGTGATCTGCAGGGAATGTCCCTTGACAGCTCTAGAAGAAGAAGCCAGCGATACCTGAGCAGGTAGCTTAGGCGTGCTAAGAGAGCTCATTCTGCACATGCAGCAAATGTACTGCTACAGGCTTACAGGAGAATTCTAAATGGTTCTCGCCTGCGATTACTGAGTTTCTGGACTTTTCCACGGTCTAATATTCTGAAGAAACGTAAAATTTGGGAAACTGGGTCCTTTTTCATCCTCAACTTAAACGGTGGGTTGCGCCTACTCATTTGGATCCGAAAGGATGAGTTAATATCACTCACGTCCAATGACGTGAGACTAGACGCTAGACAATGTCTAGAAAATCGGAAACAGCAGGTGTAGAATTATCGTTCAAATCGAGGAGAAGCCTAGAGGATACGGTAGCTAACTCGTGGCACAGTGGGTTCAGGGAATCTCTATTGACGGGTATGTCTGAAGGGAGGGTGGCTGGAATAAACGGCGGTCTAGGAACAGAATGTTGGACCTTCATGCACAAAGCAGATAGTCAATTTAAGAATCCCATATTCGCTGAGCTAGTAAAGGTATCGCTTGCTTTGTTTGGAACCTGAAACTTAATGACTATATTAGGCAGTTGGCCCAATTCTGAGTGGCATGAATACAATCCATCATATTCAGCATCCTCTCTTGTAAAATGTGAGGTTTTCACGGCAGTGACTATGAAGAATGCCATCTCCTCGGATCTGGCGCCGTGTAGATCTTGTGTGAACCGACGTTTCGGAAGGAGGAGGCAATACCTTCCTCCGAAACGTCGGTTCATACAATATTTACACAGCGCCACATCCCAGGAGACGGAATTATTCAGCTTATAATTTTGTTTCCCTTCTATAATGAAACAATATTAATTTAACACCATTAATTCATACTTAATTCAATAATGTTCGTTAAATGTTTGAAATATCATTAGAATTATTAAAATACATGTGTGTTCGGTATTATCCTACATGTTTCAGCCGCAGAGGGCCATCTTCAGGTCCAGTGCTGCACAGGGCAACAATTCCTTTAAAAAAATGTTGCCTGAAGAGGGCCCTACACCGCTGAAAAATGTAGGACAAACACCAAACGTACATATATTTTCATAATTTTAAAGACGTTTTAAACATTTAACGAACATTTAGCGAATTAAGTGTGAATTAATGTTGTTAAATTAATAATGTTGCCTTATAGACGGAAAACAAGGCTATAAATGAACACAATCCAACACGTCAATTGTTTAGATGCCTCAATATCCTTACACCTAGCCTAACGTTTCCCGTATTGTCTCTTCGTTTTAGTAGTATCCAGCTCGGCCATAGTGACACTTCCTACTAAGAACCTCTCTAGTGTGACGGGTTTCCTTACATCAGTTGTGATTTACATTAAACCTGTTGAGATGGATACTGGTCGTGAATATAAACATTTGAACTTGTGGATGGCGTGCAGCCTTTAATAACTAACAGGGATTTCGATGGCTTAATTCATCTTGGCTTCTCACTCGAGGAGCTGCATGCAGTTAATTATATGCGGTACTAACGGGGACTTCTTACATTGAATTCAGTTTCGACGCTCAATATCTCCTTCGTAAATTGTTGCATGATATGACCGAACTTTGACATCAGTCGCTCGTGAATTGCTTCTGTGGTTTCAATGTGCTGGAACTTGAGAAGGAGTCCCAAAGCCTCTTCAGACGACCTGTAATATATATGTCACCTGTTAGTAAATAATTTTTCTGGGATATCACCCTTAAAATTCAGTGCTACCTTAAGGCATTACAGAATATTGTGACGTGCCGCCTAAACGCCAGAATATCCGAGCGGGCGTCCATTGTAGACAACGGCTTTTTAAAATACGTTTTCGAGACAGCGCATACATAGACGTCCACTGCCGGGCAACAGCTCAATAAGCGTTGTCCCCGCAACAACCAATTGCTAGGATAAAATCAATGTGTTACCTAAAAATGAAAACAAGTTCCCGAGACAACACAGAAACCCGTTGTGGAAACAAAACCCTTCAAGAAGGTGTCCTCTAGTCCGTCCGACTGTAGAAGATAAGAGATCAGATAAGACCGGAGCAGAGCTGAGATCAGAGGAGAAACCAGCTCGGCCAAGAACCAGAAGACGAAACGTGAGAGACGACAGACTAGTCAGGGCGCATCGTCTGGAAGACGTTACGTCAGAGCGACTGTAGCTGTAGCTGTAAATGAGTTATCCAATAAGCAGCTCCGTCTAATCCGGAACCCACAATTATTAGTCACGAAACCCCAGACACGTGACAATATAGAAGAATCCTGATTATTTTAAGATGTTCTCATTCTCTCTGCACTGTAAATAATATATCAAATTTTCTCCAGAATCAAAAACAACAACATTTCGTCGGACGTATATGTTCCTTTATAAATACAATTATGTGCGGGTTATTTGATTACATCTTTTTCCAGAATACGTGTTCCAAAAAGATATATTTCTTAAAGTTCTTGCGTGAAAGTGAAATATAAAAAAGCCATCTTCTTTTCATAAAATGAAGAGCCACAAAGGCCCTTAAAATTATAATTTATATTCTAATTTTAATTCCTGAACTTACCTTAAAACCTTGAAGGATTCGTCAATGAAATACTTGGCTTCAATTTCAAGTTCTGAAACCTGACGATAAAAGGTTCTTAAAAGTTCTTGCCAGTTGAGTTGAAATTTCTGATGGAAGATATCAAAATCAGCTTGCGATACTGAAATAACTAATTTTTCAACTTTTTTCACTACTGCATCAACGTGCGAAGGATCACTGGTAACGGATTTTAAATCCGGACCGAAAATGTTTTCGATGCGACATATAACCTGAAAATAGAAAAGACGTATTTACTTCCTGACTCCTCGCTCTCTTTGAAGAAAAGAAAAGAACTGAGAAATAATAATTATTTTTTGTAACTTCACCACATTGTGCGGCAATAAATTGTTGTACTTTTACTTCGTATATCTCTTGCTTGTGGGCCGTAGAAAGATACCCACGACAGACAGTGCAAAGGTCAGGTGCTTTGTGCATAAATACCTCCTGCTTACATACACCAGAACGTCACAACACACCCTAGGCTACTTATTTACTTACTTACTTACTTACTTACCTGGCCGCACCATAGCTC